TAAAACCATATTATAACATCGACTGAGATAAAGAATAAAATAAAATATTAAAAACACGATGTATCTCGCTGCATTGCGCGAGTACGCTTCTAGTTTTTAAATAAAATATTTAAATATATTGATAAAATTGTGTTCTAATTAATTAAAAATAATAATTAAAATTTTGAAACGGATGGTGTTTGGTAAGATGTTGGGGTTGGTACGAAGGAAATCGACAGTGTTGAACACCCACCTACTCTCTTCATCCTCCATTTGAGTTCTAAATCACCACCTCCAAATCTAAGTTAAAATCCACCATTACCTACTGCGTGTTCTTGTGTGTAAAAGCACACAGTTAAGGAGAAAATGGCAACTCACATTAGCAACGTCGCTCAGAATCTTCAAACTGCCAATTTCACTTGCAATCTCTCCAAATCCCAAAACCTTTCTTCCAAATCGTTATCTTTCTTATCTTTTGGATCGACATACAAAAACCCAATTGCTCAAATCTCTGTTTCTTCTAACAAAAACTTTGGGAGGAAATCGTTTACCGTATCTGCTTCTGTTGCCACCACGGAGAAGCCGTCGACGGTACCGGAAATTGTGTTGCAACCCATCAAAGAGATCTCCGGCACCGTTAATTTGCCCGGCTCCAAGTCTCTGTCTAATCGGATTCTTCTACTCGCTGCGCTTTCTGAGGTAGTTTAATTTGATTTGATTTAATGCGTACGTATTCCAAGGAAATAGCTTTAATTTCACTTTTGAATTCAAGGGTTTACTTTTCAACCCCAGGTTCGATATAGTTTTTGACAAATTTCGATATTGTCAATTGAATTGAAGTCTATAACCGATACTATTAGTTAGAGGATGTTTGAGTTAGGTACTGAATTAGGGATATGTGTAATTTGGTTTTATGTAATAAATCAAGCATGTATCATAAGATCATTGATTTATGGGGTTTTGGTGTATGGTTGGAGAATGTTGGATTAATATTCTGCTGCTAAATCTGGGATGGGTTTGGATGGATCTTGCATTTTGCTTAGCATTTTACACATAATGAAAGCAAATGATCTCCTATTGATGAATCATACATGCTTCATATATATATATATATATATATATATATATATATATATATATATATATATATATATGTTTTCATATTATGCATCTCTAATCTGGTAATTGATTTTCTGATTTGCTTACTGCTTCCATCATGGGTTTTAGGGTTTATCTTTATAATTAGAGTATGATCATGGGTTTTGGAACCTTTTTGGTCTATCCTTCTACTTGGGAATATGTCAAATTCTGAATTGATTCATGGTGTTTGGTTAGGTTAGTGTATACTGGCTCTGGGACTTGAGCACTAATTCTAGATGGGTTTAGATGATGTTGAAATTTGACTTGGTTTACGATTTATCAGAAGTGGTTTATATGAAAGTTGATTGATTTATAGATTTATACGGTTTTAATAATTCAAGATAGGTATGAGTTGGTTTTAAACCAAACGAAAGAACCCCTGCGAAAAAGTGGTCTGCAAAAAGATTTTGGTGAAGATTGAGAGTGCTTCAAGAAGTTTGTCTAAAAAGTTCTTGAATTTGAAAACTAGGTGCTTCAAGAAGTTTGCCCTCAAACCCTACTCCGTGTGGGATTTAATAGTTTTGTTTTGTTTATCTTACATAAAGCTTCTAGGGTATAACTTGTTTCCTACTTTATTTGTCCTGCATACAGTCATACTCGTTACTCATGAGGATCGTTATTATTCTGTCGAGGTTATCTCTACCTTTCACTTTGTTATGATACACATTTGATCTCATGATTTGGTGCCACATTTAAATTCCATTATTCAGGGAACAACCATTGTCGACAATTTACTTAACAGTGATGACGTTCATTACATGCTCGGGGCTTTAAGAGCACTAGGGCTACGTGTCGAAGAAGATGGTGCAATTAAAAGGGCAATTGTGGAAGGTTGTGGTGGCGTATTTCCGGTGGGTAGAGAAGCTAAAGAAGAAATTCAGCTTTTCCTTGGAAATGCAGGAACAGCTATGCGGCCGTTGACAGCTGCAGTTACTGCTGCCGGTGGAAATTCAAGGTATTGTGATATATTCTCTTGGTTTCAAGAACAAACACGTATTTTTACCTTTAAAGTCATATAAGTCGATTTTATACTTCAAAAATGGATAAGATTGACGATCAATATTCCCTCCGTCCTAGGGAAATTGCAGCTTTTTCTAATTTTAGGAAGTTTTGAAATTACAAATTACTTCATCCGTCCCAAATAAGTCTCCACATTTCTATTTTACTTTGTCCTAAAATAAGTGTCCACTTTCAAAAGCAAGTGCCTACTTTCCAATTCTTCCCTAATTATGTGACTGAAACTCATTGCGTCCTCTATTATTAAGGGTAAGATAGTCATTTATTTAACTAAAAAGTTAAATAATTTATTTTGGGATGGAGGGAGTAGCTTCTTGCATATTGTCATCATTACATATAATTGATAATGTTGACTTGGATCCACAAGATTTCTTTATCTCGCCATTATTAAAGCGTCTTTTTGATCTTCGACTAATAGTTAAATACGTACCTAAAACTAGTTGTTAGACAGAGGGAACACTATGACTTGAAAGGTGCTTGTGTTAAATATTTTCCGTGCCAAAAATGAATATGAAAATTATGATATCTCCTATAGACACACATATGCCGACCCTTTTTTGTAATTAATCAATTTTTTTCTTCAGCTACATACTAGATGGGGTTCCTCGGATGAGAGAGAGGCCGATAGGTGATTTGGTCACGGGTCTTAAGCAGCTTGGTGCAGATGTCGATTGTTTTCTTGGGACAAATTGCCCGCCTGTTCGTGTAGTTGGAGGTGGAGGCCTCCCTGGTGGAAAGGTACGATTTTGTTATTTCTCTTGCCGTGATTATCCAATTAACTCTTAGGAAACTACCTCTTTTTGTTAACCTTGAGTGCCAGCTCAACCGGCAAATAAAGGCTAGGCCTTGGGGACCCACCCCATAGGTTTCCGGTTCGAGTTCAAGTCTCCTCAGAGCCATTGAGGATTTTCCTAGCAGTTAGCTTCAGGACCCCATGGGATTCAGTAACAGAAAGATGCAAAGAGTCATGAATGAATATTTTTGACTTATAGGTCATAACAATAAAATGTCTTCACAAAAACGGACTTTTTGCCTGTTGAGGTAGAGGAAAGACCGCCTACATCTTACCCTCCCGACACTCCACTTTAGATGGGATTCATTTGGTTAAGAATAACAATAAATTTGTCTTTTGATTTTTACAGGTTAAGTTGTCCGGATCCATTAGTAGTCAATACCTTACCGCTTTGCTTATGGCTTCTCCCCTTGCCCTCGGGAATGTAGAGATAGAAATCATAGATAAACTAATTTCGATACCGTATGTCGAGATGACGTTAAAATTGATGGAACGCTTTGGTGTCTCGGTGGAACACAGTGATAGTTGGGACAGGTTCTTTATCCAAGGCGGTCAAAAGTACAAGTAAGTTCGTTTTCACAAAACACCCTTCTTTCCTTGGAGATTGGTCATAGTATTTATAGGATCAAAAAATTTCAGGTCTCCCGGAAATGCTTACGTGGAAGGTGATGCTTCAAGTGCGAGTTACTTCTTAGCTGGCGCTGCCATAACCGGCGGCACCATCACCGTTGAAGGCTGCGGAACAAGTAGTTTGCAGGTGCACCATGGTGGTCCTTTTCGACTTATATTCTCTCCATTCCAAACCGCTCTACATTTCTGCATATATCCCACCCCCTACACCCTACTTTTGAGTGGTATATATGGGGTTCTTTTCGTTTGGCTATTCCTTTGGCTTTCTGAAGTTACTGTTATATGGATTTTATTGCAAATCCACATATAAAACTACGTATCGAAAATAATTACAGTACATTTTAGTGCAAATCATCACATTTTTGTGAAATTTTGCAAAAGGGTTGTATGAATTTTGAGTTCAAAGTTAGACTGTTTGACCTTAAAAGTCAAATTGATCTTCTCTTTTGTTCTTTCTTGTGCTTCTTATGCTCATTTCTTTGTTTTTTCATTCTCAATGAAGGGTGATGTGAAATTTGCTGAGGTTCTTGGACAAATGGGTGCCGAAGTAACATGGACCGAGAACTCAGTCACTGTGAAGGGCCCACCGAGGGATTCTTCTGGAAGGAAACATTTGCGTGCCGTAGATGTGAACATGAACAAAATGCCGGATGTTGCCATGACTCTTGCTGTGGTTGCTCTTTATGCCGATGGTCCTACAACCATTAGAGACGGTATGATTTACCCTCCTTGTGGAAAACGAAGTTTTCTAAACTAGAGTAGACCTATCCCCTATCCCAAAGAGTAGAACAATTGCATCGGGTTAGCAGTTACCTGTTTCACATTAAGTTGGTAACATATTGGCCAATAATCTTCAAGCACGTTTTTTTGGTAACCATGGATGTCCGGGCCAGCTTGACCGCCTCGACTAATCCCACAGGCTCAGAAGATAACAACCAGGAAAATCCATAGTGGCCCCAAGGACTTGAATTTGGTGATCTATGGGGAGGAGCCCTTAGGTTGGCAGCCTTTCAGGCCCGTTTTTGCTGAGCAAAGAAAGGCCAGGGATTTCTAGGCTCGGGCCCAGGCTTTAGGGTTGAAAAAGGGCCTGATCTGGCTTTTCCAGGCTGGATTTTTGGGGGTTTTCGGGCTTAACTGATCTTTTCCAGGCTTTTTATGTCGGGCCTACGCCCAGGCCTGCCCCCAAAATTCTGCGCTTTGAGGCCTGTCCCGGACTGGGTTGGGCTTTTTTGTGCATCTCTAGTTGAGTGACCCTCGTGTTTCCAAGCACGTTTTGGATGTCCGTGTTCTTGGATTTGCTATATATTATAAGATATATAGCATTGGTTTTCAGCACGGTCGTTTTTGTTATCGTTCTATGCCTTTGATTAAGCTCAAATATCTTTAACTATGCACAAAACTCGACGTGCACCTTCACATTCCGTCTCTTCTATTTGCCAGTTGCTAGCTGGAGAGTTAAAGAAACCGAAAGGATGATTGCCATTTGCACAGAACTCAGAAAGGTAAGATGGTTACAATTTATCCCTTGTCTCTAACATTCGTCCTCATTTAACACTTTATAATTCTCGGGATTTGATAAAATTCCAGTTGGGAGCGACGGTGGAAGAAGGTGCGGACTACTGTGTGATCACTCCGCCGGAGAAGTTGAATGTAACGGCAATAGACACATACGATGATCACAGGATGGCCATGGCTTTCTCGCTTGCCGCTTGTGCTGATGTTCCAGTGACCATCAAGGATCCCGGTTGCACCCGTAAGACGTTCCCTGATTACTTTGAAGTTCTTCAGAAATTCGCCAAGAATTGACGTGATTTCTCGTTATCATCCGTCGCTCGTGTCGTTTGATGTTTTAAAATAAGTTTTTGTTTTGATTTCAAGGTGTAAAGTATGTGATTTTGAGGGGTAATCTTATTGCTATGAGATCTGTAATTCTTTGAGAGTATGATGGATGTAATAATTTGAGGTGAACTTTGGGTTAGATTGAAGTATAATCTTATGCAATTCAAGTTGAACTTAAGGGTTGTTTCGCAGGTTCCAATGGTTTGATGCAGAATGATTAAGATGTTTTCATGATATAGTACAAAATGAAATATAATTGTTTGCTAATTGTTTACAATAAAATTAGGGCGCTGAATGGTTAAGGGAGGCTTAGGATACAAAATCATTCTGAGGGTTATAGAACCATTAAGAGACAAACTTTTTTTGTTAAATAAGATTAATCTCTTAAGGATTCAGATACTGCCTTTTAATGGAACTATTAAGAGGTAAACAAACAAACCCTTATTCCATATTAGTTGAGTGGTATGCAGACAGGATTGGACAGTTAAGAGTGAGGTAGGCATGTGAAATAATAGTGCAAAGTTATAGGGTTTTTATTTGACATAAATAGTTTAGTAATTTACCAGTTTTATACAAAAATATTGTTTTCTTCCCGGACTATCTTGTGTACCAGATGTGTTGCAGCCGAATCTGGCCCAACTGCAACACATTTGGTACACGAGACAAGTTGCATAGGGACAAAGTGCGGTTTGCTAGACCGGTTCTTAACGAAGTCCAATCCGAGAATGGTTCTCAAAACCAATCTAAGGATCGGATTTTTAGACCGGTTAGGGACCAGTCCCTTCTTCAAGTATCTATTACGGGAAACACGACAGATGCTTTTCTTTTTCGTAATTGATGTTAATAAATGTTCAATTATTCATATTTTATATCTATTTTACAAATATACGTTAACGATCATTTAATGTAGATATCTAATTTAATTTTAACAAGTTTCAAAATGTGAAAAATATGCAAAATATGGTTTTATGATGCAAATGCAGAGTTAGGTACTGTTTATCAAATGCTTATTCGGGTAAGCGCTTACTAATTCACTTACTATACCGGATGAAAATAGCAAGGACTAAAAATCTTACCCGGTAAGAGCGAAGACAAGAGTCGAGAGTCTTACCCGATAAGTGAGGACGATGACTCTTACCATGGTTAGCGCTTACCGGGATAAATTGTTGCATACGATGCGTTTTAGTGAATAAAATCTTACCCGATAAGTAAGTGATAATGTTGAATTTTACCGGTAAATGCTTACTGAATAAGTGTTTACATAAACGCCCCTTATATTTATTTCATTTGACACATTTGTTAGGATGTCGCAATCTTTTGGAAGGCTTTTTGCCTCTATTTTTCAATTAACTACCAAAAAAAAATATGCACAAGGTTGAGTTTCTATAAGAATGAGAGTAAGTTGAGAATGGTAAGAAGAGATCTGCACCATTAAATCAATTCTAATTGAAAAGAATTATGAGATCAACACTAATAAAATACACTTGATCAATTCTCTTTTAAATCATAATTCATGGGTTGTTTTGGGATTAAAAGTGATCAAGGATTCAAATCCTTTCTTACACTTGTCACTTTTTAACTTTTATTTTCACATGATCCTTCGTCTCTCAACATGTGTGTGTGTGTGTGTATATATATATAGGCGAAGGATTGCATAAGGAGAGTTAAGATAAGAAACGTAAAAAGAGATCTGGACACTTGATCACCTTTAATCTCAAACTCACTCATAATTCACTTTTGATACGGGGATTAACCCGATGCATATCATCCTAATGTGTATCAAAAGGTGGGGATCTCTTCTTATGCTTCTCACCTTAGCTCTCATTCTCATCGGAACCCAACTTTATATATATATATACATACATACATCTATAAGATCAGGTCCAGGGGAAAACGCTAAATACATAAAAAAAACCCCAAAAACCACAAAAAATGAAAAAAAACATATCAATATGGATGTCAGATTAACGAGATCATGTGAGACCAAAGGTTTTTCGTGAGACCTGTAAGAACAATTCTCAATATTTGGATTAGATCTACAATCTGACAATTTAAACATTCATAAACGCCACGAGACTTCTCAATAATCACAAAATTGTCACCGTGCAACTTTAGACCATTAGATCATTAGCTTATAAAGTTGATCAATGAACATAAATTAATCTTACGGATCTTACAAAAAACACTTGATCTCACGTAAACTCAACCCTATATAATACTAAATATATATATATATATACACACACACTTAATGAACGCATGGGACATGGTGCCAAGATTTATAAATAGAGAACATGGATCCCACAACTTGTGACTCCCATCTCCCACATGCTTGCATCAATTTGACGACTTTAATATTTATTTTTAAAATAAAATAATAAAAATTCATTTAATAACCTTAAAAAAAGATTGAACCCATGTTTCTTCAAACTTTATAAATCTTTATCATAAGTTAAGAGTAAAACAATTTTTTTTATTAACCTGAATATCTAATTCGTTATGTGATCCGATTAATCCTAGGACGACCACCTGTCAAAATCACTATAATTAAACCTCCATGACCTCAAAGAGATTTTTATTCCTCCTTGGATTCGAACCTGAAATCTCTAGACACTTTTGATATTTGGAGTCTAAGCTCAAACTAATCAGACATCACCCTTATGATCAGAGTGAAACATTTTGTGATAAGTGAAGTTGTGGTTCATCAAAACTAAATATTAAAAGGGACGTTATAAAAATAAAACTTATAAAATAATAACCGAATATTTATGGATTCTTTCTTTTTATTTACACAAAAACAACAAGATTTATTTATCACATGATCATATTCTTACGTTTATATGAATTACTTAATACAAGTCATATTTCCATCCATAAACTAAAGTCAAAACCGAAGAAGTTCAATGACCAGATAAAAAGTTGGATCAAAACCAGTATTTCAACCACTAATAAGTTTAACCAGTCTCATTTTTCAAGAGTCAAGACTTAAGAATGGATTCTTTAACAGTGTCGAATTTGGTTATAATCAGTGAAATGTTTGATTATCCCAGAATCAATCAACTCATTATTTGCTAAAACATGTCTTTTTTAAATATGACCATATTTGATTTAAAATTATGTTTTTAAATAACCTTTTTTGAATATTTGTTGTCATGTCTTTTTCTTAAGCTTTAGATTTATTGAAGGGAAAATAGACATGTCATGTGAGAATTGGATGTCACATTTAGTGTGAAGTTCACATGACATATATGAAAACCAATACCTAACCTTCTTTAAAAGTAATCCCCCAACCTATGTCTTTAATATTGGCATAAAAGAACCTTTGATTTTCCGAATTTACAAATGTCACAGGTTCAAATCTAAGAAGGAATCAAAATCCCTTTGTGGCCACGGAGGTTCAAATGCGGTGACTCCGGGCTAATGGCAAAGCAGGTGGTTTGCCATGGGATTAGTCGGCTCGCATAGCGGGTTGAATATCCAAGTTATTAAAAAAAAAAACTTATTATATGTTATAAGGGTGTGCAGAAAGTCATCTGATTCAATTTAAATCGACGATCCTATTAAAACCGACCAACTATAATCGGATATTCAATTATAATTGGATTGGATTGGATCCAAAATTTCGACATCCATGTAAGACCCTATTTTGTGGGCATGCCTTTAAGATTGACGTATTGTAATGAGTCTTTGGAGGTCATACCTTGAGTGGAATGCATTGGGTTATAAGAGCTTATGGTATGGGCGAGTTCTAGTAGAGATACCCGTATTTGGAGTTTCTGGATTCTTTGTTAAATAAATCTTGAGAGTGTGTTATTTTGATGATTTATTTTATAAATGGGATGTTTGATGTTAATGCACTCTTAGAGCGTTTTGTTTTATAAATCATTTGAAAAATACACTTTATTGTGTTAGAAAATCATTTGAAAAATACACTTTATTGTGTTATAAAATAATTTGAAAAATACATTTTAACTACAAGGGTGGTGCCTGATTGGTTTGAGCTTGGCTCCAAAGGTCAAATATACCAGGAGGTCCTAGGTTCAAATCCAAGTAGGAATAAAAATCCCCTTATGGCCATGGAGATTCAAATGCGGTGACTCCGAGCTATCTGCAAAGCAGGTGGTCGTCCTGGGATTAGTCGGCTCGCATAGCGGGTTAGATATTTAGGTTAATCAAAAAAAATATTTTAGAAATAAATGGTATGATTTCACTTGGAAGATGAAATAATGGATTTTTCAGTAAATTATATTTTTGGAGCATGTGTTTACATAACCATTGGTTAAACACACTTATTGTTTACAATGACTTTTATTGAATAATCAATCGTGTCGCTGAGCATTTGACTCGGTTTTCACTCAAATGACTCTTTGAGGACAATTGTCCGGTTTTATTTGGTCAATGTCGAACTCTTAGAGTTATATACAATTATGGCATATTTATTTGATATATTATACTTTTTAGGTGCATTAATCATTCAATCACTATCGTTAATTTATACTATAATGCAATGGATCCATAGGCATGAGAATCGGTTGATGGTAGGGGTGCTCATGGGTTTGGTTGATCGGGTTGAAGACATTTAAACAACCCAACCCAATGCTTGTGGTTTGGAAAAATCTTAACCCAATCCAACCCAAACCAAAGTGCAACCCAACCCAACCCGTACGGGTTGGTCGGGTTAGTCGGGTTGGCCGAGTTGATACTTTGGTATATTAAAATGTTCTTCTAACCTTGAATATGTTATTTCTCTACTCATAATTTCTTTTTCATCATCAACCATTTGATACAACTTATCCATATTTCTTACATATATCACATTCAGTTAATTTTCTCAATTTACATATATATGTTCACAGTTACTGAACATATATATGAATGAGTTATATAGAGATRTGAATAGATTGAAAATATGTGTATATGAAAAACATACATGATAGTGTAATTGTCTAATGTATATACTAATAGAAATTCAACAATCATATTATATCCAAGAAATAAAAGGATATCGGGTTTATCGGGTTGGGTTGGGTTCAAATAATAGTTCCCAATATCAACCCAATACCTACGATTTGACAATTTTACCACTCGATTAGATATCGGGTTGCTTCGGGTTGGGTTATTTCACGTTGGGTTGGGTTGATCGGGTTGGTCGAATTTTTGAGCACCCCTAGTTGATGGTTTGTAATGAGACTGTTGTCCCTATATTCTTGCTAGAAACTGCGAATGTAATGGGTAACTCAAACTACAGATCATGGGTGGTTGAACTTCATAAACGTATGATCCGTCAAGGGGGACTTGAGTTATAGACCGTGAGTGGTTGAACTTGATGATTGTGCAGTCCGTTAGTGGCTGACATTTCTAGCAAAAGAGCCTCTCTAAGCAATTAACAAAGGACTCAAGTTACAGAACATTGGTGGTTGAACTTGATGGCCATATGATTCCTATTTGAGACTCATTAACGTTGATTTGGGGTTTACTTATGTGTTCGCCACATTCAATGGATACAGGTCTCCCCGTCACCAAATAATGTTATTTTCGGATATATTATTATCCTTGTTTTCGACGTTGTTTCGAGTATCGAGTGTTTTCCATTATTGATGGTTTTGGATATTTAACCTTATTCGCCTGTTTGGGCATTTTTGAATAATAAAGTTCTCATCCATGTTCAAAATAATTGGACATTAAATCTCATTTACGTTTTCAAAGTGAGTGTTGGGTTTTGAATTTAGACTGAATGAGTATTTTGATTTAGAGCTTTCATCACTATAAACAATGAGTTTTGGAAGGAAGTTGTTTTTACGGTAGATACATTTCATTTGAGAAATTATAATTTAAATAAGCAGTCTTTCAGTTATGTTGTTTTATAATTACGATGAAAATTGATTGAACTCACTAGGCGTTAAGTCTAACATTTTTATTTGTTGGCATGTGCATCAGGTTCTCGTTGGGATTTGGTACAAGCGATACTGTAATGATTTGAGTGCTAGCGAGAGACATGAGAAGGGTCTAGCCATTCAATGACGTCTTCTGTATTTGGAGATAGTGACTGTTATTGGGTTTTAGTAACACCCGACGTTGTTCTAGTCTATATGTAAGATGAAAGATGAAATAAGGAGGTAGATATGGATAAATCCACAAAAGATGAACTCCAAGGGTCGAATAGCCATTCATGGAAAGTCATGGACTCAATTGGAGCTTGGAGAACATGTTTAAATCTAAATATGTATTTATATAAGTCGAAAATGGCAGCACTGGAAAGATCTGATCATATAAGGGACTGTCCAAGGGACTACACCTCCACATTGAGAGGAACACAGTTATGTGCTCAATTGGTAAAACGGTTGGAGTTCAAGCTTTTGAAATCGAATGAGGTCTTAGGACCATCAATTCATCAAGAAAATGAATGTTTTGGTGTATGGTATGTGACAAGTTTGTTAAATCATAATTAAAGTATATGTTGGTTAGTAGTGACGAACTGCAAAAAATATCTGTAAAGTGGACTTGAAATGAGTGAGAATGAATTTTTAGCCAATTGTATCCGAAGTGCAACACTTGTGTGTTAAACGTGAGCCCTAATGCGACTTCTGAAGTTCTGTAGGCAAACTCGCAAAGATGAAGTAGGGCTCGAGCATGAAGTTGGCCAGTGATGTTGCATAGGTTAAGCTACGTGAGTTAAGGGTTGGCCTGTGACCTCAAATTGACCAATCAGAGTGAGTTTAACCATGCAAGCTGTCTAGACTCACCAAGATGTAAGCGAATATGAAAGGAACTTCTTACGTCACTTAAGAAGTCTCGTTTGACTTGTGTTTAATTCTACCTGACTAACTCAATACTATATTATGAATAGATAATATGCAACTAGCATTCCATAATCAATTCAAGTACTTAAATAATATGTGTAAGGAGCATTCAGATAGAACCAAATACACCTATACAGACCAGAGGTGAGTTTCATGTGATTTTGAAACATGGGTGCATACATATGTATGTATTCAGTACTTTCAAGTATGTTATGTTGATAATTCGTGTTTGGCATAATATACTGGTTTTTACTAGACATTCAAATTATGTTGATTTCAGTAATTCACTTGTTAAATGTTTCAAAATACAGATGGTTTTAATATGGTAATGTCATCTATTTTAGCATTTCTAATGCTATTGATTTGTGATTTGTGTATGTACCTGTTCAATATCTATTATCATTCGGTAGCTATTATATCTCTAGAAAGTAGGGCGTGACATTTAGGTATTACCTAATAAATGACTGAATTATGTTAATAAATGTTATACAACAATTTCGTTTTCTAGTAAAGTTATGGTTGCTTGAATCCTCTTTGTCGATAACAATATGTCCAACAACCTAGACTGAGAATAGGTTTTTGACACAAATTCAAGTTTCTTCAACAATTAATAACAAACTAGAAGGGTACTCGAGCAATGCATCGAGATATATCTCAATTTTATTTTTTATCTATATCGATATAATACGGTTTTATGTAGTTTTGAGAAAACGATAATGTTTTTATTTTTTAATAAAATATAAATTCTAAATATCATAACAATTTAAACGAAGTAAAAAAACTAAAATTTAATAATATAATATTTTATAATAATAATAATTAAGTATTCTGTTAGAACTTAATGATTATCTTAATTTTATTTTAGATATTTTATATTTAAAAATGAGATGTTTATCCTGTATTTGATTATGTTTATCTGTAGTTAGTTACACGAATTTAAACATGGAGCTTCAATAAGTTGTACTTATGCACAATTTACTTGTAATCTTGAATTTTAAGTAATATGCATCAATAAACAGTACTTTGTGCATAAAAAATGATTTTTAAAAGTTTTTGTCAAATGTTTTATAATATAGTATAGATAGTTGCAGAGAAATTACAGTGACTACAGAAAGAGATACAATATCATGGTTCGAGACTTTGTGTTACATTTAGTTTTGAGTAATTCTTAGAGTTTGAATCCATCACATATACACTTTCAAGGTAGAATAAATCTTTTCACAATTAATCTGAATGCGATTACTCAGAAATAGTTCCAGTAAATACTTAACTGATTAAATAATCAATGTACAAACTGTTAATTCACAAGGTGCAACAAGTGATCGGGAAATCTGAACCTATACGCTACGAACGTCTAGACGATCACACCACTGAATACCCAAATGACAACTGAACATTGCAAAAAAGTATTAGTTACATAAAAATATCGTTGAATTTTTTTTACCATTGGTCGAAATTTTTCAGTAATTTTAGAATCCAACATTACTTTCTTGAATAATCTGACTCGACTCCCAAAAAATCTCTTCCAAATTTTCAGCGGTATAAACACTCCGAACCCTAAATTTAACAACCCACATAAAGTTTATCAAATTAAACAAGAAACATTTGAAATCGAATAAATTTCTTAACCAGTCAAACCCTAAAAATATCTTTAATCTTCCAAGAGAGATGGAGTAAACCCTAATTTCATCCCCAAAATCTTGATCAAATTTATGAAGATTTTGAAAAAATTTCTTCCTTAATTAGAGTAACCCCTTTTGACTTTTTCTAATGTTTTGAGTTTGATGAGTCCACCTTAAATCTCCATTATTATCATACAATTTGTTTTTAAATCCTTCAAATTTATTCTGTCCCTCTTCATTTAGTCCACCACCACCACTCTCTCTCTCTCTCCAATCAAACTTTTTTTTTTCTCGATCGATTTCAATCTCTGAAGAACAAGAAAACCCACAAAAACCAACGATCAATTCCTCCAAGAAATCTTCAGATTCCGTCGTAATCGAAAATGGTGAGATAAAGTTGGAGGAATTGCAGAAGCAGATGAACAGAATTTGTTGATTCGTTTATCTTGTTCATCGTAGATTGATTAGATTCCGTAGCAACAAAAGAAGAAGAAAACCCATCAAACCCTAGCTACATTCAAGGAAATCAAAGATACTCAGTTGGGAATTAGGGAAAAATTAGGAGTTGGGTGTTCTTGATTTCATTGAAGATTATGAAGCAAATGTCATCTTCTCATATGGATAATATCCCATCAACACCTGGGAAATTTAAGATGGAAAAATCCCCTTATAATCATAGATTCAGATGGCATTATTCATCTCTAGCAAAACTCACATTCTGGAGCTTTGTGTTCTTGGGATTAATCTTGGTTTTCTTCTACAAATCACCATCTACAACATCATCATCATCAATCCCATCAGATCTCTCTCGCAGATCTTTGAAAACCAGTTCATGGGGCGGACTCGCCTGGGAAAAACGGGTCAGATCCTCCGCCAGGATCCGTTCCCGAAACGGGTTTTCCGTTTTAGTCACCGGAGCAGCCGGGTTCGTCGGAACCCACGTCAGCGTCGCCTTGAAACGCCGTGGAGACGGCGTTTTAGGTCTCGATAACTTCAACGACTACTACGATCCGTCGCTGAAAAGGGCTCGTCAATCTTTACTCGAAAGAAGTGGGATTTTCATCGTGGAAGGAGACATAAACGACGTCGCATTACTCCACAAACTCTTCGAGGTAATCCCTTTTACTCACGTTATGCATTTAGCAGCTCAAGCTGGTGTTCGTTACGCCATGGAAAACCCATATTCATATGTGAATAGTAACATCGCTGGATTCGTTAATCTTCTTGAAACCTGCAAAAATGCAAACCCACAACCTGCAATCGTTTGGGCATCTTCAAGTTCTGTTTATGGATTGAACACAAAAGTCCCATTTTCCGAAAAAGATCGAACCGATCAACCCGCTAGTCTCTACGCTGCCACGAAGAAGGCCGGCGAAGAAATCGCGCATACGTATAATCACATCTATGGCTTATCTTTAACTGGTTTAAGATTCTTTACTGTTTATGGACCTTGGGGAAGACCAGACATGGCTTATTTCTTCTTCACAAGAGATATCTTAAAGGGGAAATCGATTCCGATCTTTGAAGCTGCAAATCATGGAACTGTGGCTCGTGATTTCACCTACATTGATGATATCGTAAAGGGTTGTTTAGGAGCTTTAGATACGGCCGAAAAGAGCACCGGAAGTGGCGGAAAGAAACGCGGCCCTGCTCAATTACGGGTTTTCAATTTGGGGAACACCTCACCCGTTCCAGTTTCGGATCTTGTCAGCATTTTGGAGAGGTTATTGAAGGTTAAAGCGAAAAGATTGGTGATGAAATTGCCAAGAAACGGTGATGTTCAGTTCACGCACGCGAATATCAGTTTTGCTCGGAGGGAATTCGGGTATAAACCGACAACCGATCTTCAAACGGGATTGAAGAAATTCGTGAGATGGTACGTGAGTTACTACGGATCGGTAAAGAAAAGCGATCAGTGATTAGATGATGATGTTCTTGAAGGATTCTTTTCTCAAAAAGGGGTAAATTTTTTTGTCAAATTCTTGTTGATTTTGGTCTGCATATGATTGTTTTTATCTGTGATGGTGTTCTTGAGTTTCCAGAAATCCCACGATTTGGTTGTTTTTGATTTGTGATTTGTACCAAGAAAAGTAGCAAACATTTTTAGGGTTTATTGTTGTAGAATTCATGAAGAATTTGACCATAATTCCATTGCTTTTTGATCTTGTCGACTTGTATCATTTTACGAAATTCAAATAAATAGAACACGATAGTTTCGGGTTTCATTGTTTCTTGATCCGATTCGAGGTTATTGTCTGGTTTGGATTCGTATGCATTCGGGTTCGTGTTGTTTTTGGTTGTTTTTGTAGCTGTCGTAATCTTTACGGTAGATGTCACGTATGCGTACAAAAAAGGGCTAATCCGTTGGCCACTCGCCAATTCAAAAAGTTAAGACCCGGTTAAGATAATCGGTTATAGAAGCCCGATCGGTTGTCGAATCATTAACAGGTCGGGTTTGATTGGTTGCGTGACCAAACCGATTATAGTAATTTATACTATATTATAAAGTATTTGACAAAAACTCTTAAAAACTAATTTTTATGCATGAAGTACTGTTTATTGATGCATATTACTTAAAAATCAAGATTACAAGTAAATTTTGCGTAAGTACAACTTATTAAAGCTTCATATTTGAATTCGTGTAACTAATTGCAGATAAATATAATCAAATATTGGATAAACATCTTATTTTAAATATAAAAAATTTAAAATATAATTGGGATAATCATTAAGTTTTAACAGAATATTTTAGTTATTATCTTTATAAAAAAATTATATTATTAAACCTAAATTAAATTTTTTTGTTATTAAACCTAAATTAAATTATAATTAAAAAATTGAATTAAGGAAATTACACCAAAATACAATAACTTTTAAAAAAGTTAATTTGATACTAATAACGATAATATTTTTTTTTCAAAATTTTATAATATTTTTAAATTTATATTTTATTCAAAAATAAAAACATTATCATTTTCTCAAAACCACATAAAACCGTATTACGTCGATATAAAAAAGAAATAAAACAAAATACTGAAATCAAGATGTATATCGAAGAATTGCACGAGTACCCTTCTAGGCTTCTGGTAGTAATAACTTATAGAAGGCTCGATGGAGGCCCGATTCTTTATCGAATAATTAACTAGTTGGATTCGACTAATTACATGACCAGGCCATCGGTTATGTATGGCCCAGTTATAGTTAACCGTAACCGGTTATTTGGGCTCGACTTGTTATCAAGTCATTAATGATTATTTTATTTAGGTATTACTTATAAAAATACATTCATATATTAATATATACTATATTATAAAACATTTGACAAAAACTTTTATAAATCATTTTTTACGTATGATGTTGCTTATTGATGCATATTACTTAAAATTCAAGATTACAAGTAAATTGTGCATAAGTACGACTTATTAGATCCTCATGTTTAAATTCATGTAACTAACTGCAGAAAAACATAATAAAAACACAAAATTGAATGGTTTTCTCCATTTTCTTTTTAAATAAACTTCTCATTTTAAATATAAAAAATTTAAAATATAATTAAAATAATTATTGAGTTCTAACAGAATTTATCTTTATAGAAAATTAAATTATTAAACAAAAAATAAATTGATTCATTATTATACCTAAATCATAATAAAAAAATTTAATCAAATAAATTACACAAAAAAAACGAGAACTTTTAAATAGTTAATTTAATATCAATAACGACATTTTTTTTTAAATCTTAATTACAATATCTTCAAATTTATATTTTATTTAAAAATAAAAACATTATTACTTTCTCAAAAAACATATAAAACTGTATTATATCAATAAACAAAGAATAAAATAAAACAATAAAATCAAGATGTATTTCGCTGTATTGTGCGAATATCATTCTAGTTATTAATTAATATATCGAAAAAGGATATTAAATTATGATCGTTTTCATTTAAGCCAAATATGGCTTCAGAAAATTTTATTTAATATTTATGGCATCGAATCATTGACCCGATTATGATAATGAGATCCGATCCCATTTTAATACATTTGATTAGAGTAATATAACACATTGACACGACTTACAACAAAGATTTATAACATCTAAAGTTAATTAAAGGGCCATTTACTAAATACTTACCCAATAAGTACTTACCGGGTAATTTTCCTCATCGAATGAACATGGCAAGAGTCAAAAATCTTACCCAGTAAGAGTGATGATAAAGATGGAGAGTCTTACCCGATAAGTGAGGATGACGACTCTTACCGAGTAAGCATTTACCAAGTAAATTGTTGTATAAGATACGTTTTAATGTACTACAATTTTATCCAATAAAATAAATTATAGTATTGACTCCTAACATTAAACACTTACCAGATAAGCATTTAAAAGTTACATCCATTTAGACACAATATAACACATGTTGTCAAGAAAAAGAACTTTCAAATCAACACTACTACAAATTTATATAAAGAACCATAAATAGCACAAAAAGATTTCTCCATCTTGTTTTTCGGACGTAAAATCCCTAATTTTGTTCGCAATCAAAATTTTCACAAAAAAGAATAATGTCGGGTTTTCTAAGCACGAATTCAAAAATCGTACTTTGTCCGTCCACTGCTCAAGATAAGGCACAACATATCTGATAGATCGTGGGAGGATGAAGAAGAGTTCAAGAAGTTCCAAGACTCGAGCATAAGGCGTTTCCTCGATCCCTTGAAATGAACCACCTAAAAAACAAATCGAATTCAATGTTATATTTATGAAAATGATGATAGTTCATTTATTATGATTTGAATATTTATAGAAGATGACTAAGGTTCATTAATTATGATCAATACTTTATATTAGAAAACAATCAAAACTTTTATGAAATCACATATTCATCAAATTAAATGGACGGTTGAGATTGAGTTGTATTGGTTGTACAAATGTAAAGGGTTGCATAATAACTCACCTCTAGTAGGTGATACATAATGCTTAATAGGTTGATTTTAAAACTTTTACCTAAATGTTTTATGACATAGTGTAGAGAAACAAGAGGGTTATGCAAGTGTTGTTACCTTGACATCCAAGGGCATGCCATGAAATTGACCGGCACCTTCGGGCGGTGTCCAATTGTAAACTGCACAAGGCAAGAAGAGGACCGATGCACCGCCAATTTCCTCAAGAAACGCTTCGTGTCTACTAAACTCCTTTGCATCGAATGAAGCATGCGATTTTATCACCCAAGCAAGAGCAAGTTGATCGCCGAGCATCCGTGAAGCTTTCATGTATTTTGAAGTATAAACGTTCAAGACTTCCTCCAAGAAAATCTTTGCTCTGCGAAACCAAACAAACTAAGTAAATCCCACTCAGAGACTATTTCCGTGAAGACCCCCAGCTTGCAAAACAAAAAGTAAAAGAAGCTAGGACACATGAAGCGTAGTATTGACGACTACAAGTACCAAAAGAAAAGCTAAGACGAGTGTGCAATAAAACGGTTAAACGAGAATGTCCTATGAAAATTGAACATTTCCCATTATGGGCATGTCGCATAAAAAGTACATCTCTATTTTTAGAAAGTTTTAAGTTACAGTTACCTATTGTCTTTTGTCATTGTTACAAAAGAATTACGCTATCTATCCGAGTCCACAAGATTCCCTTATTCTTTTTCACTATCAAAGGTTCTTTTAGACATTTGTTCAATCCAACCGAAGTCGTTAGAGACTCAAGACACACTTAGGCGCAAAGGGGTCCTGGGGCCAGGCGTGAGGCGCGGGCCTTTATTAAAGGTTCTTTAAGATACCTGACAAATAATCAAACGTTTTCACTTCTTAAAAGATCCTACAACGACCTATTTGACATCGTTACCATCAACTGATATATCAACTTACGTCTACAAGATTCCAAAATGTTAATCATTTTTTAAGGTTACGTTAGACATATGATAAATGTCGTTGGTCAAACAATGCAACTTTTCATGGGGCAAAGGGAGCAAGTTACGGATTACAAGATGACGTACCTTAGAATTCCATCAGGGGTTCCCCTAACTGCTATGAACCCTGAATTCAAAGGCTGCTGTTTGTTATTACGAAAAGTGAGAGCCAGATGAAAGTTTTCATATTTGCTAAATATTTGCCCCACGTCACCAACTACTGCTATATCGGAGTCGGTGAAGATAAAATGGCTAATCTGCCCCGGCTTCCGTGACTGCTCTTCAAGCTTTTCCTCTAAAAAAGCCTGCAAGAATTAGAAAACAGTTGCTGAAGTAAACACAAAACAACGTTTTGGGAACTCCTCTAAGCAACAAACCAACGTAGTAATCATTACGTATATATATATATACATATTATATATATATATATATATATGAAAAACGGAATAAAAATACTGCCATGGGGGTGGGGGCATTTTGGTCATTTTAAGAAATTAGTCAGGTTGAATTTAGAAGAGGGACCAGTAGGGATCAACGCACTCTGCTCTTACAATGTAAGACCTGATTCTTTGAAGCATCAACTTGTTGCGTGAATATTCACCTTGAATGGGATACACCATCACCCTGTTTTGCTTCAGTGGAAGACTGGATGCAGGATCAGTGAGGATGATCGTGTTGCTTTGAGGCATCGTCATCTGCAAAATAATAAGTAGAGCATTAATTCAGCTAAATGGTTGTTTAGCTTCATGGAGACAGCGGCTTTACCCTTAAAGGTAGAACAGGTCTGCATACAATCCCCCCCCCACACACACACATCCTACTTTGAGTGGGATATATTGGGTTCGTTTGGTTTAGTTTGGCTAAACTTGATGTTTAGCCGACGTGCAATGTGAAACATAAAATAGGGAAGTTTATGCTCATCATTATAGTGTAACTGAAATCTCGCAGACCAAGTTAAAGTTCCTCTTGCGTTTGGTATGCGGGACAGTACACAATAGGACAAAACAAAAACTTGTCACACGTTTGGTGCGACAAAGAACATGAAAGATCTTCCTTTTCGTTGCTTATTATTTACTAGTCTTGGTTCTTTTTTCCTTTTCGCTCACACTTCTGCACAAGCCGAGGGTCTTTACAGAAACCGTTGTTCTACCCTTTTGGGGTAGAGGTCAGATCTGCACACATCCCATCCCAGGTACTACCTTACTTTCGAAGGGATATACTGGGTTGATTTTAAGAACACAAAAGATCATGCCGATGCTTATCTATAGAAGTTTAGATCACATTTAAGGGTATAATCGTGATGTAGAAACATTTATCAGAGTTGCAACTTGCAAGTTAGTAATCACGATCGACTTTTTAAAAGAAAAAATGCATCTTGCTCATGTTGTAAGGGTGTAAGCGTTAGGATGAGTGCATGATAAGATATGCAAGGATTCAACAATCTTAAAAGATATGAGGATATGGGCTTGTGATTCATGGACAAGGATATGGGGTATGTTTATAATATGTATACAGATAAAAGAACATAAGTATCTCACAATTCATACTCTAGATATACACTCCCTTTATCCCAAAATAAATATCCACGATGAAAAAGGCACACAGTTTTAGGACTGTGTAATCATTACACTTTTTAATTAACCAAATGACAATTTTACCATTAAAGGGATAAATAATTTCCCATCTCATAATTAAGGATAAAATTGGAAATTAGACACTTACTTTGCGACAAACTAAAGAAGATATATGGACACTTATTTTGTGACAGAGGGAGTACATTAAAAACATAAGTATTAAAGATGGCCATTGACCGTTCCACCTAGCTTTAATATAGGTTTCCCACAACATGGATTCTATTTTAGAAGTACCTGTATAAAATTTATGAATGTATTCAAGACGGCCATTGACCGCTCCACCTTGTTATATAAAACTTTCCCAACGATACTCGAGTCACTAGCTCTACCATCAACACTAGAGTTATAAACAGTAAAAACAGTCACAAAGGCAACGCCATCACCACCTCTGGTATCGGAAATATTGAAGACTGATGATATGTGAGTCTTGTTAAGAGCCTTGATACCTGAAAGAATGTTGCTACGTATCACTCGGGTGATTGTAAATCAAAAACTCAAACGCACAAAACAAAAGGGATTCAAAGTTGGAATATATGTGTTGTACTATTAAACGTGTACATAAGTATGAGTGCGATTTATCTTGTAAAGCTTAGATAAACCAATTTAATCAAAAACCGTCGTTCATTGTCCCTTTGTACCACAAAATTGCAACTTCTGATCAGACAAAACCTAACCAAACCAACCCAATATATCCCACTCGAAAGCAAGGTCCAGGAAGAGTGGGATGTAGACACTCCTCACCTCTACTCCAAAAGGTAGAACGGTTGTTTCCATGAAGACCCCTACCTTGTGCCAAAGTGGGAGAAGCTTCTGATCAGGTAGGTACATGGTACAATAACCCTGCGTTTGGTACACTCGACAAGACAAAACAGAACAGGAATCACTATTCCACGTTTTGCAAGACTTTTATGTGGAACAGACAGGAATAGAGTGGAACATGCTTGTTCCACCCCCACCCCATGGAACAAGGCAGAACAGACTTGTGTTTCACCAATATAACCTCAAAATAGAACTTAATTCTCTTCTAAAATATCAAAAACACCTTCCTCTTTAAATTTTATTCATTTTCTAAATTGTATTTATTGTATTTTACTAGAATGGTACTCGTGCAATGCAATTACGAGATTGTCTCTATCAATGTTATAATACGATTTTATGTGGTTTTGAGAAAGCGACCATGTTTTTATTTTTGAATAAAATATCAAATTTGAAGATATCAAAAAAAATTGAAAAAAATAAATCGATATTAGTATCAAATTAACTATTTAAAAGTTCTTTTTTGTAATTTCTTTCATTCAATTTTTTTATCATAATTTAATTTAAGTTTAATAACAAAGTAATTTATTTTTGGTTTAATAATAATATTTTTTTATAAAAGATAATAATTAAGGTATTATGTTAAACTCAATGATTATCTTAATTATATTATATATTTTTTATATTTAAAATGAAGTGTTTATTCTGTATTTGATTCTGTTTATTTACAGTTAGTTATACGAATTCAAACATGGAGCTTTCATGAGTTGTACTAACGCGGCACAATCTACTTGTAATTTTAAGTAATATGCATCAATAATCAGTACTTTATGCATAAACAATGGTTTTTAAGAGTTCTTGTCAAATGTTTTGTAATATAGTATAGATGCTCTTTAAGCTTTCACTTTACTATCCTCAAAATATTATTTTTATACGGTTTCCATTTTGATTTAATTTATGTAATTTATTAAATATTAATAATATAGAAAAGGTATAAAATAAAATTTGGAAACTACATAAACTTTTTTAGTGTAATTTTAATCGTCTTGACGAAAATTTTCTAATGATATATTTTGTTGTATAAAATATTTATTCTATTATAATTTAATAAATTACATAATGGATCAAGATGTATAAACAGCTAAGTAGGGGTAAATTGGTCATTTTATCAGTTTTGTCTTACCAGACGCTGAATAGCTGATCTATCTTGTTCTATCTTTTCTAGATACCAAACGTACCCTAAGAGTTCTGATTATAAGCCATTTGTGTAAAATCCACAAAATGCCCTTGATGACAATATAACAGAATACTTGTGAACTACCATTGACAATACGTATATAGTGACAGCAGAAAAATAGATAGCTCTGAGAATTTGACAAAAATAGAGACACTTGGACACCCCAAAATGGAAATTGTTGTGATTTGAGTGGGTTGAGGGAGTAGTTGCCAAGATCTTACACACTTCCACGAACAGAACTTATAGCAAGTTTGAAGATATCATCATAGGTTTTTTAGACTTTTCAAGGTTCTAAATTCTAATAATACCTTTGCATTGCAAACGATTTGGTAAACCTTCACCAGCAGCAGGTCCAAAAACCAGATGATCAAATTTCCTGGTTTTCTTTTGGTGTGAATCTTTAGCATTTGAGTTTTGATGCAACTCCAAAACTGAGATAACGAAGCAATACCGTTCATTGTGATTAAAAGATTTAAGAGCATAATTTAGCAGGAAAAAAAAAGTAAAAACACATGATAATAACCTGAGAGAAAATGTGTTACAAAGAAAACGAGCGTCACAAACAAAAGGAACTGGCGCCATCCAACACACACTCTCATCCCTGAAGAACTTTGGGGTGGAAATGTGGATGTGCCCTTGTAGTCTATTCTGTCCGTTATGACTTGTCTGCAGAAATAAAGAGAAGATAGATCATGCATGTTATCCAGAATGCTAGAAACAACTGTGATGCTTAATTGGACTCATAGTTTAATGAATTTGTTTGACTACTAGTCAAATATCTAAAATCCTCGCAAACAATGACAAAATAGGGACCCTTGACGACTAGGGTAGTTCAAAATATAAAATAGCGAATGAATCTTTAAATCATAAAAAACAATTTAGTAGTTGAATCAACCATACAATCATAGATGACGCATCAAAGTAATAACAATCCCAGCTCCATTTCAATACTCATAGCACTATTACAGGTTCGTTGAGTTATATTCCAGCTGATGCATGAAGACAACAACTAAGAAGATTTGAAGAAAATTAAAAAGAAAATCTTATATAGGAAGTTCTTATAAACCAAAATGAAGTCACTTCTTTATAAAATAAGATACAATTTCACTATGTGCAAAATCTTGGCACTAACCTGTTACCAATAAGCAAAATGTACTTTCTGAGGCTCTGTGCTCATGTTCCTTGCTTTCTTTCTGATTTCCAGGGGACAGAGCGTGGCTGGTGGGAAAAAAAAGGATAAAATGAGACAGACGGAAGGTTCACAAGCTAGGTCCCTAAGTCACACAATAAACAGAAAGAAGACTACATCTTCCAAGATTCTTGCTAATTCCAACTATGGTTGCTGACATATCTTCCCAGAAATAAGCTTTTCAATACTCAAGAACATGGTTGCAGTTCATCCACAATATTGCTAATTTGCTAGTTGCTACACTTAAATTCATATGATCATCTCTTGCTGAAGTCAAGTTCCTTGAGACAAAATTCCAAACAATGCTTTTGGCAGATTGAAACTAAATGATATATAAGTAAGAGAGCAATGAAATGCAATCAAGAACAGTTTCAAACTTAAAAAGGTAAATCTTTTTAGCCACATCTTCATTGCCCACATGACAGCCAATCTGTCCAAAAGCAAGCTAATGTAATTTACAATAAGGATTCTGTCAGAACTTTAACACTAACAATGTTCTAGCATGTAATACAGGCAATGTGATGCAAAAACTTATTGCTGGATCAAAAGCAATCTCCCAAAAGTACTAGCCCAATGAATTATCAATCTGACCAAATAAGTACAAGCCATCTGTCCACTACTACTACTACAGTAAGATTTCAATATCTCGAAGCTCCAAGATTTACAATTTGATCTCAATTCAATCAAATAATGGGGAAAAAAGAATTTCCCAGATGTCAAAATTCGAAACTATATATAGGGTTTAAGACTGCCTTCGATTACCGTGCTCGTAAGGATCTATCTTTCCGGCCGCCACAGCTTCGCCGGGGTCCTAATGGAAGGCCAATAAAACACGTCGCGCAGATCTACACAGATTCCGGAGTTGAAGACGATGATGGTTCTTACGATTTCAGATTGATTTGGGTATTTTTTTTGAGTTGGTTTGGCTGATCAAATCATCGATTAGAACTTTGGGATTGAATTGAAAAGATAGAAAGTGAGTATTTAAATGCTTCGAGTTTTCAATTCTGCTCCCAAAGCCCAAAGGTACATAATTTATGAGTGCATCACAAAACAGTCCCTATACTTGCACAAAATGTACAATTCTACCCCTTAGACTTTCGATTTGATGTTTCTGGTCCAATTTTTAATTGAACTATGATATCATCCACCCCTCAGACAATTAATCACTTAGTGGGAAATGGTCCGAATAAATCCAACGAGTGATTAATAATCCTGTTAGACATAAAAAAGTAGCTATCATCCCCTTTTACGAAAATAATTTTTCAGTTATGATCATGACTTGTTAATTGGTGGTGACGGAGAAAATGGAGGTGGTGACAACGACAATGATGGTGCGAAGGTGACGGTGATGATGCTACGTGGTGGCGGCAATGGGAGTGGTCGTAGGGGTGGTGAACTGGTGGTAGGGGTGTAAATGATGCGAGTCGAACTCGAGTATCAGTATATTCGACTTGAATTTGATAGCTATTTCCCAAGCTCGAACTCGACTCGAGAACTGACGAGTAGTTAAAAACTAAATTCGACTCGAGAACTGACGAGTAGTTAAAAACTAAATTCGACTCGAACTAGATTGCAATTTTTTAAACTCGAACTCGTTTGAAGCTCGAACCGAGCTCGAACTCCTACTCGAATCAAGCTCGAACTCACCCGTCGAAATTTATGAAATTTTAAGGTGTTCTCTTATAAATTACAAAACTTAAAAGGTCTTTTAAATTTTAAAAAATCTAAAGGGATACACCTCAATCATTCTTTTACTATCTCTTTTCCAACGTGGGACAACTTCATTGACACTTCTATGGTTTTTTTGTCTTTTCTAATTATTTTTTAATAAAAAATTATTGATATAGTTTTATAATTAAAAATGCACAAACATTGTTCAAATATCTACAAATATATGACATTTTTATTACATTATATTATACATGTTATATTATAAAACTGATTATATTTTTAAAACTAATTATATATCAAAAATCAAGTATCTCATGAGCTTTTCAAGTCGAGTATTGGGTAGCTCGACTCGACTCGTTAATATGTCGAGTCGAGTTCGAGTTTGAGCGGAGCCTATTCGAGTCGAGTATTGACCGAGTTTTGACAAGTCGATCTCGAATAGCTCACGAGTTGTCTCGTATGATTTACACCCCTAACTGGTGGTGGACTAGGCTTGTTAAACTAAATTAGATTCAAAGGTTCTTGTCTTTTTAAATTCAAATCATGAAATCGCTGGCATTATCAAATGAATAAAATTCAATTCTTTGACTTGTTCAATCGCAGAACTTTGGAAGAATACAGTCGTTCGATATGTGAACCAAACAGGATCAAGGAATTTGATCAAAAAGGTTTGTCATTTCAATTCCATCAGATTTCGCAAACCAAAAAGGCCCTAAAAGTTTGTAAAAGTGGCTTTCATATGAAATCATTTAACTAAATAACCTCATTACGTACCATGCAACTTGACCAGATGACGTCTACTTGACACAATCTCCGACTTTGAAAAATCAAAACACAAATCCTCACTGGCCTCAAACACATTCCAATCGACCATTTAATGATATTTACTTGGTTATAAGATGAAATGTTACGTTATAATAAACATTGGCAAACACGCATGCAAGTTCGATATCTTCAAAACTCGATATATTTGCTTGTACAAGATTCACGAGCCTTTTTCGTACCTCTCTAACTCTAAGGTGCACCGTGTTGATGGTGGAAAACGAGTCAAATGACAAAACCTTCTTGTGTACATCCTCGAGGGTTGCATTGATGACAATCATAGCTGATATCTCGAAATAGGATAGGAGCGAAGCCGGTCGACTAGCCCAAAAAGGGAGAGGATTGTGGCTAGGGGTGGTAATAGGTCAGATTGGGTTCGGGTTTAACCCATTTATTAAACAGATTGAAAATCTCTACCCAACCCAACCCATTTAATTAAATGGGTTGAGATTTTTCAATCTAACCCGGCATGTTACCTAAATGGGTTGGCAGTGGGTTGACATGTTTAGTGGAGATGGGCTTTTTGTTAGGGCTTTGCTTTTAAGAGTTTATATGTGCACTTTTTGGGGCTCAAGATCCGGCCCGGATTGAATTGAAAAAAGAAGGCTGAAACGACATCGTACGTCACGAACACTTGACTCTATCTCGATCGAAGCGGAGAAGCTCCGGCATTTTCCGGCGACTGTTGTCTCTTGTATTCTTAGTCCCGGCGATCGACTGTCTTGCAAGAAATAGAATACAGGTAGTTACACGTTACCAATTTAATAATTATATGCACTTCTCTAGGAAAGTTTACAGTTTCTCACAAGTTGCTTCGGTAGAACTGTCAAAAGCATGATATTGAAGAGAAATTTGTAGGGTTTTGAGTGGGCTATCCGTTTCAAATGGATAGGATAGTCTCTAATGCCTTTTCTTCTGAACTACTGAGGTTTCATACATGCATTCCAACTGTTTGACGAAATGTCTGCAAGAGGTTTGATCAGACATGTCTAAGACAGATGCCGTTTTTGGAGGTTGAAGTGAATTGAAATTCAACTTCGAAATGTATTTCTCTCTCTGTAGCAAAATAAGAGCTGCAATTTAATTGTTAATTTCAAACATAGAACCTTCTATTCACAAAAGAAACATGGATTTTGCTGCAGGTTTTGGTTCTAGGGCACTTCTACTTGTAGTTCTTTTTGTAGAAAGAGCTATAGTTTGTTGCCTCGTTTCAAATTCAAAGCAGCTAGACTTTTGAGTGGGATAAATTATTTCCCACAGAGTCTCTGTCTTGACCTCTGGTAGGAAATTCTAACACCAACTATTTTGAAGGCTTATAACCAAATTGAACTTTATAGTAAGTGCTATGAGAATAAACATTATTGTTATATTTTGCAACATGTAGAACTTTTCTAATGTAAACCTGGAATGGGTGTTGAACAACATTTCTCTTTGATCATGTTCTTATATGGATGTAGCTGAAAGATATGTGTTGCTTTACATTGCATAACAGAGAAGTACAATGCAACGCTTAGCAACCAGGGTGTCAAGATGGGCACTATCTTCGGTTGAACATTGTTCTGGCACGAGCCATTCATCATTTCTTATAAAGCGGCCATTCTTCACCAGTACTGTGCAAAGAGCGCCTGCAATAATCCATCAGCATACCATTCCAGTTGACTTTCTTAAATGGGGTTCACTTGGTTCCCACAGGTTTTCAAGCTTTGCCTCTGGCTTCTCACCATTGAAACACAAGCCATTGGAATCCATAATTGACATCGAGAGGGCAAAGCATCAAACCCCAGAGGATCTAGCTGCAATTTGGGATGATGTAAGTTCCTGTGACCTACTTGTTTTTTTATTTAAATTATCTTGCACAAATTATTTCCATTTTCAACCTTCTCATATATAATTGTTGCTTTTGTTTTTGATATGCCAATGTTGCATTATATTAGAAGTATAGCAGATTGGCTGAAGAGTTATATATTGATGTAACAACAATCTTACTTAAAAGCTTCTTAGGACAGGATCATTCTTTCCCAATGGTACCCAATCCGACCTCTGAAAGGAACTGTGAGGGATAGGGATCGAGCCTTATTAGGGGCATAACTAACATATATTTTTGCCATTTTATGAGGATGTAGCACTTCTACAGTGGGTCACCATCATTGTAATAATAAAAATAGTAAGTTGTGTCAATACAGACTCATTATTTTCTAAAATGTGTCAATTTTACCACTAATAAGTTCTGTTTTGTCTTAAAAATGTTTAAAATTAGATCTTGGCTCAAAGATGTTGAAATCATTTGCAAAAGGTAGAGAGACTTTACGACAAAAAATTACACGTTGCTACAACATTAAAAGGAGAAAAAGGAACATATAATGGACCATGTCATAAAGTTAACTTGATCAAATTTATCATTAATTTTTTTTTGTTTTAGTTCTGAATGTTTGTGATTCATATGCTTAACTATAGATCCATGTGAGAATTGTGTATATGTTTGAACGGAAAAAGAATGTGTTCAATAGATATTAAAAAATTAACAGTTAGAAGTTCCGATGCCCAAAAAAAATAGCATTATATAATTTAAAATGCAAGAGATACAATCAAATGTTTCTAAATTGTTATGGGAAAAGGAATTATCATTGTAAAAGATGAAACTAATATTAAAAATGTAAATAAATATTATAATCAATTCATAAATTTCTAATGTATTAAGTAAAAGTAGTTGTTCTAGAATTTCTAATATTTGTTTAGGCAGAAAATGACAACTGGTAGGATTAAAACCCTTTTTCTCAATAGAAATGGTGTTAACGACCAGCCTGATGTGGACCTATGGTGTAATTTGCCTACAGCAACGACTAAATGCAATATTTTTTCTGGGGTAACTTGACTCAACTTACATATGGCTCCCCATAGCTGGGTTATTGTTGAGCGGAGCCTATAATGTTAGCTGGGCTATTGTTGAGCCTATAATGTTAACTGTGTTATATCGGGTCCAGAGTGTAGTACAATTTCATGGAAACAGCCGCTCTGCTCCATGGGGTAGAGGTCAGGTCCGCGTACATCCCACCCCAGGTGGGATATACTGGGCTTGTTTGGTTTGCTTTAGTGTAGTACAATACAGCTACTTGTTCACATGTTTGTCTGCTTCAGTGAGATTGAGTGCATGGTTAAGCAATAATAGATTCTTGAGGCATATTTGTTGATGGAAATGAGGCTTATCTTCTTCATAGGCCTTACTTTCTCTTATTAAGCTTCAGTAAGGAGAAGCTTTTTGTAAAAACATTGTAGAACAAGCAGCACGGATTAACTCTAAGGTACTGTGATAATTTTCTATGCAAGTAAAGCCAATTTCTATTTTTTTTTAAATAATATTTTCTTTTTAAACTTCAGTTTCAATATTACTACCTGGCTTGGTGCCTTTTGATGATTTAATGCATAAGCTAGTTGTGGCTGATAGTTGGGCAAATTCTTTAGAAAACTTTGTAATTCGATGGTCAACACTATATTCATCAAGTTGGAGTACAGAAGACTTGTGTTCATTGTTAACTTGATTTACTATTGAATTTAACAATGCATGTCCCTTGTAAAGATTAGGAACATAGTCCTTTAAATTTGTGTTCACGGTGTTTTGAGTTTTTGACTATAACTAGTAACTTCAACTTTTCATGTAGCACAAAAAATATTCCTCGTTTGTTTTCACGTCCATAAATTTCTAGTTATTAACATAATTTTCATTCAGATTACTAGAGCTATTGCCATTTCAGGAAAAAGAGTTCATTAGAAGTGTCTTCCATTTATATTAAACTCTTCATTTGAACAACGTAACCCAAGTATTATAGATCTTACGAAAAGATATGAACAACACTACCCAAATTGAGCAAGATCTAAGCCAAAGTTTCAATCTTTGGTTACTAAGCCCACACTTCTGATGCTATCTTCTTTTACTTTCTATTTTTTCCTGTTAGTATTGCCGTAATTTATCTGATGGAAAGCCTATAACCATAAAAATGGTATTTGACCAAGTGATTCTAATTTTTTTCACTTTCCATTATGCAATTTTGGACTTGGCGGGGATGATCTTGTTGCATCAGTTTCATTTGGGAAGAGGTCATATTGGTGCATCAATGAAGACAAAGTTGTATCATCTGCTGGAGCACCGAGCTGCTGACTGGTAACTTAAATTCATCTCCAATTGCTTCAATCTCGGGACACTTTTAGGGAACAAGTAGGCTTTGTGAACCCACCCCCAACCCCCCTCCTCCCAATACCACCCAAAGAGAACCAAAAAAATGCAACACATATAGACACTACTTGGTGCTCACGAAGTGGCCTACATGGGTTTGTGTTGGGAAAATGCTCCCATAAGCACAATTCTTGTGTGGATTCCACAACCCTGTTCTTGTTTTCATTTGTTTCTTGGTGTTTTTCTCTCATAATGACTTCTTCTTCTGTAGCCGCTATTTCGTGATCCCAGTGTGGAAAGGAAGTGGTTATTCAACAATGTTTGTTCAAGGTTTGATTCGCTCTACCAACAATCCTGCAAACACCAATATTGTGAAATTATATTTAGCATGCTCCCAGAAATGCTTTACTGTTTGTACTTTTTTTTTATTAACTTGGATATTCAACCCGTTATACGAGCCGACTAATCCTAGGGCGACCACCTGCTTTGAAGATAGCCCGGAGTCACCGCATTTGAACCTCCGTGGCCACAAGGGGATTTTTATTCCTCATTGGATTTGAACCTGGGACCTCTAAGTACTTTTGACCTTTGGAGCCAATCAGGCACCACCCTTGTGGTTTACTGTTTGTACTTTATTGCCACCTTCAAGAGACCAAGTGTTTCTTGTGTTTATACTGCTAAACAAAGATCATACTCCTGTCCATCCCATGAAAATTGCAATGTTTTACCAGACTCATAAATCACCTTTTTACCCTTACTATTTGTTTTTATAATTTTCATTAGTCCTTAATGGATTAAGCTAAATTGTTGTTTGCTTGTTGTGCTGAATAAATTGCTTGAATAATGTACATGACCATTTTACCCTTACTGTTTGTTTTCTTATAGTTTTCATTAGACTCATACTTTTGTGTTATATGATTCTTGTTCATCATCCCATCTTTATGTTCCTTACCAGCGTACTCGTTAAACTCGTGCTTTTCAATTCTTTCTAATATTTACGATTTTGGGGATACAGTGCAGATGCAACACAATAAGTTGTTTGAATAATGTAAATGACCATTTTACCCTTACTGTTTGTTTTTTTATAGTTTTCATTGGACTCGTACTTTTGTGTTATATGATTCTTGTTCATCATCCCATCTTTATGTTCCTTATCAACGTCCTCGTTAAACTCGTGCTTTTCAATTCTTTCTAATATTTACGATTTTGGGATACAGTGCAGATGCCACACATTCTTTTCACTGGTCTTGAAGATTACAAAGCACGAGGAACTCAAGCTGCTCCTTACTTCACCGTTTCTCATTACAAAGAATTTGCGGAAACCAAGGATTTGGTTCTAATTCGAGGAGATATCGTGTTTACGAGCAAACTAACCGATTTGGAGGCAAAATGGCTTTTGGAAACTGCGCAGTCGTTTTACTTGAACGACACAAGGTACAAATTGGTTGAACGATTCAACAAACAAACAAGCGAGTTTGAGTTTAAAGACGTTTTACGAGCATTGGACATGCCCATGATGTAGTCTGTTTTGAAATAATCGTAAGTTGTCAAAGGAACAACAATAAGAAACATCTTTTTAGGTCCTTTAATCTTTTGTTTTGTGATGAATCCAGGAGAAAAAAAGAAAGACTCAGAATTTTGACTTGTTATTTGATTAACTGCTGGAAAATGGCTCTTTTGTTTTTTGAATAAATGACACCATGGGCATGTACATTTAAATTTACAACAATTTTATATGCTTATTGTTGAAAACTAAACCGACAGAGTAAATCCCACTTGAAAGTAGGCTTGAGAGGGTGAGATCAGGGTGGACCCACTCTATTGGATAAGATGGCACGGGCCCCACTTCATTTTTTCGTTGTACTGTAAAAAAATTATAGGTTTGTAAAATATGTCACTGTATCATTTTGTTTTGTGCAACGATATATATGTTGAAACTACAATTATGACACAAGTTTTCCTTGGTAGATGCATGCATGGCTTTTCTCCCATCTCAGACTCGGTTTATGTCATTTTCCTTAGTTTTTAGCTTTTAATTTCAGATTAATTATGTTTTTGAATTTTTTTGCAGAAAGAGACTCGAACACAAGACCTCGCATATGAATGAATGATGATTTTGTGAAAATTATTCATATATTCATTTCTTATAGTCATATGACGTCACCACTTGAAAATTTTCTAGATCCATATCTGGATAAGATGTACACAAGTTTGATCTCAGTGTGTAGACCCTGGCTTATGCAAAAGTGTAAGCAAACAAGTATAAGGAACATAGACTAACATACGGTGAACGAAGCATGAAAAGAGTAAATGAAAGTGTACGAAAAGATAAGGAAAACAACACACAGGAAGCAAGGCCAAACAACACGTCTCTAGCCTAAACTAACAGTCCTCTTCACCCCGAAACCTGTTAAATTCCCTCTTTTCTACATAACTATGCAAGCTAACCGGTCCTAAACCTAGTTTGCTATCATAGTCGTGTGTACCCAAATACTCCTATAAAATCAGTTGATGTGGCTTATTTTTATTCTTAATAGATCAAATGAGTAATGTTTTTATTGCTTATCAAAAACGAAATAGGGTGAAAATATACTTAAATGCATCCGCCTTTTAGATTGTTTTATTAAAAAAGGTAAATACTATTTTGATAATATAAAAGATCTTCGGTGTCAAACGTCTTTTACAGCTGTAAGTCCTAACCAAGTTAGAGTCACCACTCTCACTGAGTAATATTCTCGATCATTGCCAACTGCACATCTTTCAATACATTATCATTGTTCAAACTAACATCAGTTAGTTTGTTTTTAAGTTTGGGCCAACCTGCCCACACCTCAAATAATCCCATGGGACTGTAAAGATAACAACCACGAAAATCTCGGTGGCCCTGAAAATACTAGAACCGGTTTTCCGTCATTAGTGAAGGTTAACATGGATCCCAATCATATCTTCAATAGTTCATTGACCCAGATCACTTTTCAGGAAACAATACCAAATACTCATATATGGCAGCTAATAAAAGCTTGTATAAATGAAGAAAACAAAGTAAGAATCATTCTTTTAAAAATTAATATAATTGACATGTTCAAATTGCCAAAGTTAAGCTACAAAATCAGGTTCATAGAATACATATTTGTAATTCATGGCTAAATAAAGGCTAACCTTCTGAGCTCGAGAAAACGTCGATTTAAACCCTTGTAAAGAAGAATATCAAGGATAATAGCCGAAGATAGCGAAAAGGTCACAAAGGGTTCAGGTGAGGTAAGTCTCGATCGGTATAAGCTTCCTATCGGGCCATGATTCTATCCTCTCGATATATTCAACAGGGACAACACCATCAAAACCTTCAGTCAGGATCACTTTGTTGTCCGATATGTAAAGCTTCATCCCCCCTGCAAAAACCAAGTTCATGAAAGATCCGAATCTGATTTATGCAAATCACAACAGACTGTAGTTTTGATCTAATAATGTTGTCGTTCTTATTTATATGTCCGAAGTGGTACACCTTTTAATGACCAAATAGAAGAATCCTTGTTAACCAAAATCGATAAGTCAATTACTTCGTAATGATGACGAGAGCAAATGGGTAATTTTATCTTAACACCACTAAAACTTACGCTATGTTTGGCCAACTAGCTGATAAGCTGGCTGTTAACTGAATAGCTAGTTTCTAGCTAATAAGCTATTTGTTAGTTGGTATTTGGTATTTGGTAGTTGATAAACTAGTCATGTTTGGTAAAAACTAACTGATAATGTAAAATAAACTACAAGGACACGTTGAAAAATAATTGGAAAATACAAGGGGCATAATGAGAACTGGAAAAAAATGGAAAAAATCCTTGAAACTTATTGAAACACTACTTCAAGTACCTTTTAACAAAGTTAGCTTATGACTAATCAAACGGGCTTTTTCAAAGTTAGCTTATGACTAATCAAACGGGCTTTTTCAGTAGGCTACAAAATAAGCTAGTTAATGACTGCCAAACATGGCCTTAAAAGGAATGGGACATACAAAGTTGATCCATAACGGAACTTATTGCAATTCTAGTGACCCAGAGAGTATAAAACTTTGGCCTGATTTCAAGATGTCAAAGAGTACCTTCAAGAGCTTTTCTAACATCAAGAAAGATCAAGATATTGACATCCCTCCTCATACCTGCATAGTGAATTCTCAAAATTTATGGGCAAAAGTTATCAAGTTATCCATCATGATATGTAGCGACATTGCATGTAACTTGGGGGCAGGTTCAGTTGCAAACTTAAGTTCTGTTATCAACCGGGGGCAAAGGAGAGCGAGCCATGTGTCCCAAACATCTTGAATGGTGTAAAAGATTTACGTTCATTATTCATGATGAATGGGAACACATGGAACATGTGTGGGCGCTCTCCTTTGTCCCCCCATTCATGACGGGAAACAGGTTTGCAGCTGAACTTTTCTCGGTAACTTGTGATTAAAAAAAAGGAAGATCATCAGCATATTCAACTTCCCCAGTAACTTCAAAGTTCAAACTGATGATAGCTTATGAGTTTAAACAAAATTACAAAAGTGCAAGAATAGAGACACTTACCGCTAATTACTTCACCATCAGTTGGTAAACCGCAAGAGAAATGGACATGTAGCCTTTGCATGCGTTTGAGACCACTTTCCAAGATCGATTTTAAATTCTTTTTGTAGGTCCCATGTACACAAACTAGATATCAAAAACACAAAAGAGATCAATAAAGAAACAAATGAGACAGGACTTGAGATTAATTGTAAATGTGTCTCGAGTAAAACGTAATTACCAGGAAATTCTTCAGCTGAAAGGATCGGTTTAAGTAAACTTTCCGTCTCAACCAACTGCCAACCAAACAGAATAATACTTGTGAACTGAAGGGAACTACATAAACTCGATTGAGTTTGATAAAACAGAATTTTTGGGTATGAAGGTTTGTAATAGAAAACAGATACGTAATCAGAAAAACACGAGGGACGGAACTGACAAGATTCAATAACTTATCTTAAGTTACACAGTATATAAAGCTTACTAATAATAATAAGAGCAAATTGCATGGAAATGCAACCTACTTTGGTCTAATTCTTATTTTGTAACATACTTCCAAAAGATTTATTTGATACTTCCTATGTGATGTCTCGAACATTTAGGTACCTAATTTACATACGAGAATGCATGAAAATGCAAAGTACTTTGGTTTGATTCCTATTGTGTAACGTACTTTGGTCTAGATGTTTGAGATATCACAATTAAGATACCAAAATGGAAGGTTTTGAAAGTACGTGACACAAATAGGAATCAAACTAAAGTACGTTGCATTTTCATGCACTTTGCCCTAGTAATAATAATAATAGCTCAATTGTAGTTATCTAGAAGCCAAACTAAACCGAGTTGCACTTGCTTAGGCTCCTTTATCTGCAAATCATGCTTTAAAAGCACAAATTCAGAAAATCAAGATACAAGATGATAACACATATTCCAATTAACGTCATCACTGGCGTTTGCTTCGACACAATGACTACTGGATCTTGGTCAAAAACTATAGAACGTTAGTTAAGGGAGCTCACCGTTATCTATTAATGCAACTTCCCACTCTAGAAATAGAGAAAGATGTAAAATGAAGTTGTTAAAAGCATCCAGTATATATAGTTAGGCAGATACATAGAATGTATAGCTGATTATGCAGACAGCTACGGATCATAACTGACAGCCAGAATAGATGTGTACTGGTATTCCTCGGTGGTTTGAGAGTTAGGATAGTTAGAAGGGAGATTCAAAAAAATATATAAAAATTAGCAAATAAACCAAACCAAATGAACCCAGTAAATCCCACGCTATATATATATATATATATATATATATATATATATAGCAAATGTAACAGGCAAATCCCACTTAATTATTCATAAGGCAATCCTAAATCTTTTTAGTTGTAACATTAGAAGAATGCATTACCGTCACTGTATGACCTTGGTTTGCACGGATCAAAAGCTCCCCATTCTCTTCAAGCAAGCTAAACCGCTGCTTATTATCCCTTATGACTGCCTAAGGTATATTAAACCAGAGCAAGAAAAAGTTAGAACTAAAAATAAAATTTTATCGAATTAGGAGAACCTACCAGTAACTAAAATAAATAAATGAAGACTGAGAATTAGTCACGAAACATTATCAAACACATTTTCTGTGACACCAATCTTTATGGCTTCGAAATATTTAGGATAAATGGATGTCAACAGTTGCTAATAAAAGGAACCTATGAAACTAAGCAAGTAGAGAACTCCTTGTTAGAATTTCCAATAAAAGGGATCCAGTCTCCTTACTACCCCAACAAGTTAAAATACTAATAAAAAGAAGGAATGAGAAGAATAGATACAGGGGAAAGGAAGAAAACACAAAAGAACTTTTAAAAGAAGGCATCACCATCTGTACAAACAGTTCTGTTTCACTAGATGTTTTTCCCCCTACCATGTTATTTTCTCATCTTTAACACAACAACTAGTTGAAAATACTTGGTATAACATCTGTTGATGCTACATGCTGAAAGAAAGAAAAAGTGAGCACAGAGGCACAACAAACCTCCTTAATATCATCAACCGTGTGAGAACTTATTGGAACATTGGCGAAAGTTTTCAGGTTGAGTCTCAGTAGATCTTGAACCTTGACATACCCATCGCTCCTCATATTTAAGTTCAGCTGAGAAGCCATATGCCTCAAAATTCGGGTCCTGAAATTTTTACCAACAGAAGTTCATATCATCTGCTAACTCTTCCCCCCCCCCCCAAAAAAAAAATTAAACCCCCCAAAAAAAAAAAGACAAAAGAAAGAAAGAAAGGAAGTCTTATTTCTAGAGTCGATGTTCATATCCTAAGATTTAGGATAAAGTACCTTAAGCAGAAACTGGAAACACACCTATTATTTTGATATAAAAAAAGCTGCATCTTTTGCAAAACGAACAAAAGAAAGCATTCCCTTTAATCATCATTGCCCAGAAAAAAAGACCTTTTTAAGTGAAGTCATCGGGGCAGAGTTAAAGAGAAATTTTGATCTTGTAACCTGCGGCAAGCAGTCTATTTGTCCACCCCTTGCATCAATAACTATTGTCTATTTAATTGCATAAGTTCAGCTGATAATTAATATTAACTAAATATTACATCAAAATTCTAGGTACTGCTTCTCCTTGCCTTAAGAGTGTATTTAATTGCTGTTTGCATTTTTTAAGCTTTCAGCATAACAGAAGTGGAGTTGTAATCTCATCTAGATGGATTGAGACTGCTATCTTGACTAAAGTCTTACATTGTTTCATCATTTGCAAAACAACTATCAAATTTCACATATTCAACAAAGAAACTGAGTTGAGCCACAGAAAGATTTCTAACCACACTACAATGATGAACCATGAACTTGCCTTCCATTACCAAAGTGAAGGAACAAATTTGAACAGAAGGCTAAGAAGTACAAAAATGAAGCTGAAACAAAATGCATTATGCTTACAAGAGCCTTCCAAGAGCATCGATTCTATCTTGTCCACCACCACCTCCACCTCCACCTCGCCCTCTTGACCTTCCATGGCTTTCTTTCGTTGCTGAACCTCTTCCTCCACCACCACTGCCACCAAACAATCAAATTATTATGAACAATTACAGCAAACAACCATTTAGGATAAACAACTTTGAATTAATCTACCAGAGAACTTTCACTATGAGCTTCTGAAAATTAGCCTAGTATCAACACCAAATACCTTAACGTAATCAGCTATATGTGCATATATACTAAATCAAACGGAGTCTTTACTTCATTTAATCAATTTTATTAACTTGTATAATTCACTTTTTTCGGCTCTAACCACGCAAACTTTATGGTATTTTTCTTTTCATCTTTGCTCACCCAACTATAGCTGAGAGATAATCCTAAACCTAAGCTTCAACTAACTAGCTTTGTTCAACAGAAAATCCATTAATCAACCAATCAGGATAGTTGGTGCATGTATGTAAAAAATCATTTAAAAATGCGATTAGTGAATATGTGGTTCTATATGCAAGCTTGCATATAGAACATAACCAACTTCATGGTTTTGTAAGAAATAGTGTGAAGCAATTCCTCTATTTTTCTTTCCTACTTTAGCCTTTCAATCTATATATCACTTGCTACAAATTTTAATTTTTGAACAGCAAAAATGAATATTTATCACAATTTACAAAATCTGAACCTATCAAGACATTTGACCATAAAGCCTTCGGGGCACAACTTTTAAGAACTTGAAATAGGAGAACAAAATCCTGACTCGGGTGACAGAATGGGTATCGTGGAACAACCAGGTAGAGACCTTTGTGGACTTCCTCCATCAATGGGCTCACTCGATTTTGGAGAATCACCAAAAAGGAAAAACAACACATTTGATCTTAAACTCCATGAGAGACCCTGTAACCAGAAATATATTTTCCGGGCTTTTTGCTGGTTTCATCTCTTTGACCTGCCTCTATGTTGTGCTCTACTTTGTACCATATATGAGTCTCTACGATCCCATTTACTAGGTCTCAGTTCTATTCTGGTAATTTGGTAACATTATCAATTCAGATGAGAAACAATTTAATTCAGGTTCGTATTAACAATCATAGTTAACTGTTTAAAAGTTACTCTGGGGTCACCTTTCATAATTTCCATTATGTTTCATCTTTTGATCTCAGTCATCTCGGATGAGGTCTTATTAACAATGATAATGAAAGGATAGATTTGCAGGTAACACAAGATATCTGACCATAATAGAGCCTTTGGTACTGTTGTATATTGTAAAATATGTTCCTACTTGGGTGCTGTTAATTAAATCTTAAATTTGCTTGTTTTAGTTGGGCTTACAGCATTTTGTAGCCATTGATGCAAACCGTAATCTTCTTGAATTAGAGGTGAAGAATGCATGGCTTTCAGTGGATAATATAAATCCATTGCTGAGGCTAACAAGTTTGACATCTGAATATGTAAGAGTACATGACTGAGAAACTAAACAGGTTGAACATACATTTATCATTATCCTCTTTTAATTTGTTTTTGCTTTTGGCTTTATGTATATTGATTATGAGTAAGGATTTGAATTCACTCTCTTAATTTTTCAAGTTCATTTGGTTATTTACTTTTGATGTATGATTTGCTAAGTTTATATCTATTAAGAAGATGTGGTTTTTATCATAAACAAGACAAAGGGGGAGAACCAGACAAGTCGGGTATTTCTACAAACACTTGGCATACATAACTAATGGACTCTAAGAACTGTGTAGGCAAAGCAAAAAAGAGAACAGAGTAGACAAAAAGTAAAATATACACCTTGGAAATCTAGATTTCAAATAGACACCATTTTCAGTACTTATCGGTATATGCTCATAGTAACGATCGTATTCATGACTGTCGTCTCATTGTTTCCAGAAAACGAATTCTTTAATTGATTTTCGGAAAGCTGACTACGGAGAGAGGTACCTTCTAGAAGAACGAGCAGAGGTAGAGAAGGAGGAGCTTCCATGACTGTTTTTGGTGTAGTTGATGGAATCCATGATCGATGTTAGGGCATGAAACTTGAAGAGTGAAGAGTAGGAAGTATAGTATGACAGAAATGGAACTGAAGAAGAAGAACGGAAGTGGCGCAGGGTTCCGAACGTACCGCTGGCGAGGCTTGCAAACATCGGTGGTCGGCGGTGTCGCTTTTGTCCGGACTCCGCCACGTGGTGTGGATATCCGATGCACAGAATTGGAGGCGAACTGGCGATGGCGGTGCTATTTCTTAATCGCACCAATTCCGAACCCTGAAGTATTAAATATTGACATTATTGGACCTTTCAGATTTACGAAAATATTGATTGGAGCAACATGTAATATTCACTTACATTCCGGTCCCTCTCACACTTTCCATCCAATTCACCGTTAAACTTATATTAAATGACGAAAATAGCCTTGGAAAAAATTCGTTTGTAAACAGTTGAAAATTGTCATTTTGATTATACACAGATAATGTGATTATTAGTTGATGAAAACACAAACTGTATGTAATTTTTAACAAGTGTTTCATAAAATGGTAATATTGTCCAAAGTTGACATTATACATAAACAACAAGAGACACATCATAATGATATATGATAGGGGTGCACATGGATTGGGTTGATCGAGTTGAAAACATTTGAACAACTCAAGCCAATGCTTGCGATTTGAAATATTCTAACCCAACCCAAATCATACGGGTTGGTCAGGTTGATACTTTGGTATATTAAAATATTCTTTTAACTTAAACATATTATTTCCCTACTCGTAATTTCTTTTTCATCATCAACCATTTGATACAGCTTACCTGTACTTCTTACATATATCACATTCAGTTAATTTTCTCAATTTACATATATATGTTCACAGTTACTGAACATATATACAAATCGATTACATAGAGATGTGAATAGATCATATATATATATATGAAGAGCATACGTGATAATGTAATTGTCTAATGTATATATTAATAGAAATTCAACACCCATATTAAATCTAAAAAATAAAAGAATATCAAGTTTATCGTGTTGGGTCAAGTTCAAGTAATAATAACTCAATACACACGATATGAAAATTTTACAATTCGATTAGACACCATATTGCTTCAAGAATCCCCTTCAAAAAACAACACAACGGAACCCATTTACCATTCTCATTCAAATTTGTTAACGTGTTCTAGACTTTGAAATATTTTAATTGAACCATCCGATTTCTATTTGTCAGTTGCTTTTCAATTGTCTTTTAAGTCCAATTGCGTTGACTTGCTTTTATGTCAAAATCAAGTCAAATCATGCATTGAGAATATCTTAAAAGGGAAATTAGTACCCCAAAAAAGACCCATCACCCAACTTAAGCATAACTGGTGCCAAATAAAACCACCACAAGATCTCCTAGCTCCAAAGAAAAGAAACAAATAAATAAAAGGCAACTAAATGCATTACATTGATACAAAAAACTCTCGTCCAAATTATCATTTAAAAGCACCATGGTTATATTAAGCCAGAAAGACTAAAATCTTAATGCAAGATAACAAATATAAAAAACACCCACTTCATTCCTCCAGCTTGTACAAAAATAGATCTTTTCTAGGAGACGAGAGTGCTGGCGGTGGTCGACTCGCTGCAAGAATAGCGACATGTTGTATGAGTACACATGTAAAATATTTCATCTATTATACAAGCTAATGGGTAAAATTAAGAAATTAAGCAATGTTTCACAAACCAGCAGAAAGCTAGCTGTGTTAACTGAAAAACTAGCTTATTAGCTAAAAAAACAATGTAAAACGACCTAAAAGGACACGTTACAGAACTAATTGGAAAAAAAACCTTAAAAGTTAGTTCGGTCTGGGCTTTCCCAATAAGTTCAAAATAAGCTAGCTTCTGCTTATAAAACAAGGCCTAAAACTCTTATTTCAACATGCCTACAGAAAATGGTGATGACAGAAGGTGGAAGAAAACAAGGCAATTAAGAGGGTACATTGATGTAATAGACACGTAAAGTGCAATAAGCAGTTGCTACAAGATCGGGTTCAAATTTCTAGCAATTATAATAGTCACTATTCAATGACATTTATACACAAGGAGCGTCACATTTAAAACTTTGAGTGCAGCTAACTCAGGTTTGTTATGGAAAGATACCAAGGAGAACCGAGTATTTGGGCAGAAATATCAGAAGTTCTCCTACATAACTAGTATTCATTATTGTAGTAGTGTCTTTAGCTTTATTTTTATTGTAATCCTAAGTATAATTCAAAGCCAGTTTCTTCATTTTTTAAGATGGACAACTTCTAGCTATAAATAGTCTTTACAGTTATACAGCAAAGTGGTTGTTATTGATAGAGTAGAAAAAGGCAGACTCACATTCCTTGGGCATAAAACAAGTGACAGATTCAATCAAAAATTAGATGGGACAAATATGCATGTAAATTGACTAACAATAAGAAAGGGACATTTAAAAAGCCAAGAAACATACTATTTCCAGACAGGTGCCAGCTTCTTGGTCTTCTTGTAGTAGCGAGCGAGACGGTGGATCCTGCTCTCAACAAGAATCAACCTGAATTTGGAATCCTTGTCTTTCCTGTTCCTTTCCAAATGCTTACGGATGGCAACTGCTTTCTTGATAAGGTGGTACAAATCCTCAGGGATATCAGGAGCAAGCCCTGTCAAACCAATAATCATGATAATTAACCTACTGCCTTCTAAGCAAAAGTAATATCAATGAAAAAAGAATCAAAAAAATGAAATGCATACCATGTCCCTTCAATATTCGCAGAATCTTACTTCCAGTTACACTGTTCACCTGAGCAATACCATGAGAATCCCTAAGGATAACACCAATCTGGGATGGTGTTAACCCTTTCTTTGCAATTTTACAAATATTTTCCTCAACCTGAAGGATAAAGCAAATGAATTAGAATCAATTAACTAACAACAATTAAACAAGCATTCTAATCCATTTCACCAATTCAATTGGAATGTAGAACACGTTAAAATATGAAAATCCTATTTAGAAGCAAGAAAGCGATCTAATCTCTACTTAAGAAATTAAAATTCAGCAAATAAGCGATCTAATCTCTACTTAAGCAATCAAAGTTAATTGAACATGCAACCTGGTAAACACAATCGAGACTACATAAGCTGGAAAGCAAATGTCTGTCTGCTTGCAAATTCTAACGACAACAGATAGAAATAAACGATAAAATCAACTTGTTAAAATCTTAAGCTTTGATATTTATAATCAACAATGTTCTCTATGTAATTTCATTTAAACATCTGTATTCTCAACCATACAACAGAATTTACAGTGATAAATACACAACAAAGTTGCAATACAAAGTTTAAGGCATATTATACTCTCTATCATACCTGTAGACCATCACCCTTTTTAAAGTTCAAACTTGATACTTATACATTCAAATTTAAATTTGACACTGATTTCAGCTTTATATTTGTTGATCCTATTTAATAGTTATTGTGTTCATATCAATGTCTTAAGAACCAAAAAACTATCATCAATCTCATTAATTTCTGAACAAACTTATCAACACTTGAAAGCGGAAGCGAATATATAATCGAACAGTTTAAAAATGCATATACTTACAAGTTCATCACTTCATAACATAAATGAATGGGAACAATTAAAAGTGATACATCCTACAGTATAACATAACCTATATGAGTTATTAACGTTCAGAACAGCTCGACTTGCTCATTACAAATCAACCATTACTTCACATTGCTTGTCCAAAATTGATCATTTTTTTTCAAAATTTAGTGCTGATTCTTTTTCTTCTCTATTACAGCAAAAACCAATAGTTATTTGCAACGAAATCTATGTTAGCCAGTTCAAAAGTCAATAACATAACTCTAATCAACACAAAAAACATGGATAGACATTAAATTTTCCCATTTAGATTCATCAATATTTATATGCATGATTAAGACTACGGTAAGTTTTTGGTAAATGCAAATGTTTCTTACATCTTGAGATGAAATCTTCAACCAGCTCGGTGGACTCCTCTTGTATGGCTTGGCTGATGCCGAAATACCCTTACTGTTCACCAAAATCAAATCACGAAGCGAAATCAGTAAAACATACATTCATACACACATCTATATGCAGATAGAAATAGAAAGTACCCTCCGCTGTGCATACGACCCATGGCGACGAAGATGGAGAACTAGCCGCTGCGTGCTGCTGCTCAGACGACGGCTTCAAAACCCTAATGCAAACGGGATTCGGATGACTGGGCTAGGTTGCTATTTATAGTTTTTTTTTAATTTGTCGCCGGCCCAATTTGATTGGGCTTTCTCGAATACATGCATCATGTATGTGTATAGTTTGGGTCATGTAAGACATTTCATAATTTGGGGGTGTTCGGCTATAATAGTGATGGCTAAAAACTGGTTTCGGGCCGGTTGGTTTGGTCCCAATCGGTCCAAGATTTTTCATAACCGGTCATAACCGGTTTTGGTCGAAAAAGTTGAGTCCGGTCAAGCTTTATTGTAATCGGTTATGGGCCGCCGGTCTCGGTCATTAAAAAATATTTTTTTTATTTTTATTTTTTAATGATATATATTTTTAATACATTATAAAATTTGTAATTGGGTCATTCAAATACACTTTAAAAATGCATTTTATTGTAATTAAAATTACATTGTCTTATAAAATATAGCGAGAAAGCGATAATTGTAAACGTTTTTTGCGTTTTTATGAATCGAGAACTTGGTATTTAGAAAGCAAAAAAGGAGCCAAAAAGGCTAGTTTTTTTGAAAAATAACGGCTACATTTTTAAAAAATCGGGCCGGGCCGGTCCATAACTGGTCCCAATCCCGGTCGGTCCCGGTCCCACGAAACACCCAAAATCCATAACCGGTCCCAGAGTTCGGTCCTAAAACCGGTCCTGAGCCTGGCCGGTTTGGCCATCACTAGGCTATAAGCAGATGGCTAAAAATGGGTCCCATGTTGGTTTGGGTTGGGTCTAAAATCAATCCCGGTCCCAAACATTATTTCTGTAACTGGTCCTGGTGTGTAACCAGTCTTGGTAGTTGGTACTGCTTCCGACAAAAAACCCAAGACTTGGTTAAGATGCATTGTAACAAGTTCCGAGAATCGGTCCCGGGCCAAACCCAAATCGGTTCCACTTTTTTTCATAGAAAAATCGATTTTTTACGTATAATTTGCTTTGAATTTAAAAAAAAATACAAAAAGTGTTATTATAATACACTTTTAAATATGTAATTTGGTCAATAAAATACACTTAAAAGATACGTTTTATTATAATTTGTTAAAAACGGAAATCAAATACGAGCCGAAATCACATATTATAGTGAGAAGTGTAAACGTTTTTTTGTCCTTGTGAATTGGTATCTTCCCCATACATCATATGATATATACATTGTGTATAAAGGATCAATGGGACAAAGAAATAGTAAAAAAAAAAGGTTATATGACCGTTCCAACAACTATAAAAACGTAATATTTTTTGAGAAAATAGGGTCAGTCCCGGGCCAAGCTTATAACCAGTCCCAAACTGCTCCCGTGTCAGGGCAAACTTTGTTTTCTGATGAAAAATGTAACTGGTTCTTAACCGATGGTCCCGATCAGTCCCCGGTCCTCCACGGGTGCCGAATCCATTTGTTCTATCTCTAGTCATAAGTGGCATGCTAGTTGGGCTGTTTGGGCTGTTTGGGCTTCACCTAGTAGACAAAGTATATGCAAATACACATGAGGTTCTATCAGTTACTATTGGTTGGATTGCCTTTAGCAATCCTAATAGTTAAATATGAATTCTCATGTTGTTATTCAATCACTGTTGGGGCCAATTATTGGAGTTTAAAACTCATTTTAGATTGAGCCATGGTTATAAATAATTCATTATGGTCTCGTTATGACGCGTTATGGTGTCAAGACTTGGGTTTGTTGCTGCGTCATGGCTTAACTCTAAGGCTTGACTTGCATTGTAACATGTTATGGTGTGTTACAACACGTTATGACACGTTACGATATATGAATTTAATTTGTTTGAAATTATTATTCAGAACACCAACACATACAAGGGAGGGTGTGTGTGGGGGTGTGCCGCTTTAGCGCACGCCTTGAAAAACGTTGTGGCCTCGTCTTAACTTATAAGACTTGAGACTTGATTTCGCCCCCACGTCACGTCTCACATCATTTGGAACCTTGAATTGAGCATTAAATCATCAGATATATACAAAAATTTCACCAAAGAGCTTCAAATGGTAACCGTCTACTGTAACGGTGTTCTTTGGATATGTTCTCCATTTAAGAAAAAACATTCAACAACCAAAAAAGAGCATGAACTCACAAGGCATCGCATTGGTGCTACTAACACGAAAACGTCAAAAAGACACTAGCACGACTACTTCGGAATGTAATACAACGCCACATAAGCAAATAACTGTTATACGGTTGATTACATTATATCAACTGCTCTAACCTTTTTTATTTTTCCAGCTGACGTTGACGAACCAGATGAGGGTTCACCTGCCGTTACCATTGCTCCATCGGATTCCCAAGGATTCGTCCAAGGTAGCATCCACCCGTCCCAAGCTCCATGATCGTTCCATCCTAACCGACCGTAAACATTGAGCCCTATAAACATAACAAATAGTTACGGTTTAGGACAACTTCTTTTAAACATTTGGTCACCTAATATTTATGGTCATTTTTCATTTACCACTTCGGGTTTGTTTGCTAGTAGCTTAACGGGACTCACAACTTATTCAGTCAGTCATATGACTGTTTGGTAGTGACTTAATGATGTAGAAAATGACTTATGTAGTAAGATTATAGGGCAGAGCTTACGCAAAAAGCCACGTTTTTTACGCACCTGCCCCTCCTAATTAAAAAGAACGCTCATTTCATCTATAAAAAACCTCTCTCCTACAAAAAGTTTCTCAATCTATACAGACAGATTGATCCACACGGATAGTTTATCCATATAGGACTTATTGAAACCAAACAAACAGACCCTTAATCCATACAAGGGGGTGAAAAATGATAATTTCAGTCATTTAGACCGTCCGTTAAGCAGAAAAGATCAAACAACAATTGGTCTTGATCCAAATAAGACGTCTTAACAAGAAAAGATAAAAAAAAAATAAACAACGCTTGAAATGCACATAAACATGAAAATCACCCTTCTACTAAACCAGGTCAATTTGACAACTTGAGGTAGCCATGGAATTCATCTTGATAATTCAATTACTCGTCAAATTTCTGTAGAATGTTTAATTATATAAATTTGAAGTAAGAAATAAGGTTGTTTGATCCTTAAAGTTTGATAGACTACTTTATAGTAGCATTCCTAAAGTTAACTCTTGATATGTTCTTAAAATTACACATACCATAAGCAATGAACACAAGTTGTTTCTTACACAACAATTATTGTGGTTATGGAACAGGGAGTGGCCAAAACCTAGCTAGTTGAGACTATTCATTAAAAAGGTTGGATTCCAATGAGAATGAAAGTTATGGTCAGAAGGGTAAGAAGGAATCTACACTCTCGGATCAATTTTGATTGAAGATCAACACTGATTTTGAGCACCGAGATGCACCGGATCAATTCCCATGAGAAGCACAATTCATGGGTTGGAGTGAGATTAAAAGTGATCAAGGGTCAAGATTCTTTCTTACGCTTCTCACCTTAACTTCCTATTCTCACACGAACCTTCGTCCATTAAATATAAAGACAACTTTACTGAAATAAATGGGCAAATCTTTTAACTTCAAATTGAAAACCCCACAAGACTTGTAGAGTTTGTAGGAAATCCTGGTGCTAAATTTGAAGCACAAAACCAAAATTTGAAGTAAAAGAAACAAAGGCTTGTCCAATCAAAATATAAACCTTGCTTTTAGTCCCGATCGAGTACACTATGAAGAAAGAAAGGGTATATAAGAGCTTTAACAGTTCGATACACTGATAGGACTAGATCCGCGAGAAGTTTTTCCCACTCAGATCATGTCTTGTCCTGTCCCAGTCTAATGTTGCACTAGACATGGGACAAGAAGTTTTTGGATGGTCAATTTCTCAAACCTAGATGATCAACCAATGGACGTCTATGAAGCAAGATGTATATGATTATTTCATCATAGTTGGAAAGATTACCTGCATTCTCAAGTGAATTGAACCCATCGTTCCAACCTGGTATATGCTTGTCGGCATTGACTTTCCAATTTTCTTCAAATCCGTCTAGTTCATCTAAGTAATTCATTCAGACGATATAAAATGCTGATCAACTCAGCAAAAAGAAAAGTGGAACTTCACGAAAGGAAACATACCCTCATTAAGATTATGTAGAATTTGCAAGGAATCCTCTTTGCCATTCGGGTCACGTTTTTTTGTCAATGTATGACCCTTCACAAGCATAACAACGAATTGAACGATTATTTTTTCTTAGATAAGTGAGCTTGTTACCTTACACTTGTCTACAGCAGTGTTGTACGTAAAACCGAAATCACCAAGAGAATGGCGTCTTACTTGCCCAAAAGAGCTATATGTATATAGGAACAGAAAAAGAAAGGGCAAAATGCATCAAAATGAAATAAAATTGGCTTTAGTTCCTATTTAGTGTCAAAAGAACTTTTCTTCTGGATCGATGATGTGACAAAGTTTCAAGAAAAATTATTTATACCAAACCTTCTGATCATGTAACATTTTTATGACATGGATACTCGTTTAAAAAAGGGTTACAACGTAGTGGACTATAAACTTGTCATCCACGTCATTAAAGGTTACAAGATCAGCACGTTACCTACCAATCAAAAATGGGTAAAAAAAAATTAAATTTCGTAGCATTAAATAGGAAATTTTAAAACTTTGTTGCATTATATAGAAACTAACACAAACTATGTTACATTTTGATGCACTTTGTCCAAAAGGAAATGACACCAAAAGTTACAGAACTTAGATTTTGCATATATTTTAGAAATTCAAGCAATATCTTTGGATGTCTTAATGATTGAACAAATCAAGGAAATATAAGCATACCTTCTCATGGATTCCTCTAGAGATTGTATGCAATGCTTGACCCACAGTCTTGTCTTCTTCTTTGATTTCTAGAAGAACTACCTGCACACACACAGGTAAATATTGCATTTATGATCACATAAAATCTATTCCAAAAAAAGACTTGCAGAGAAAAAAAAATAAACTAAAAAGTAAAATAAGCAATCTCACCCCATCGTTACCCGTCCTTTGGCCAATAGAAGAACTGTAGTAGACTCCATCAACACCACCATATGCCACTCTCCGGAAGCTGAAACTTTTGGACTCTATAGACGATTCAACGGCAGATCAAAATGGATTCAAGAAACATAACATATAAGGGAAAATCAAATCAAAACCGCAAATATGTTACAAACATGTGGACCATTTTTCATGTGTTGTTTCATATACGAAACACCACATGTGAAACATGCAATGTTCATATCGTTCGAAAAGGAAAAGGCAAAACCATGTTTCATACATGAAGTGCACGTGCACGCACATGCACACACACGCACACAAGGATAGAACACATAAAACAGTATGAATCATAGTTTAAATCAAAATCATTAAATGGTTTGGATTGGTTTTCACAAGTTCGTAACGTATTTGCAGTATTTTCACTCTATATAAAGGATATAATTACGAAGGACCATTATCTTCAGCCAAACTACTATGAACCTTAAACAGAAGCAATCATTTTGCAGTTAGGAAAAGGTAACCAATGGGAAGACACTTTGGTCTAACCGGTTCAGAAAGGGCAAAATGCATCAAACCAAACCATAAAAATGCTTTTTCACCATATTTATTTAAAGCTTCATATTTAAATTCGTGTAACTAACTACAGATAAACATAATCAAATATTGTATAAACATCTCATTTTAAATATAAAAAATCTAAAATATAATTAAGATAATCATTGAGTTCTAACAGATTTTTATATAAAAATTATTAAATCTAAATTAAATTACAATAAAAAATTTGAATTACAAAAATTACACAAAAACAATAACTTTTAAATAGTTAATTTGATACTAATATTGATATATTTATTTTCAAAATTTTATAATATTTTCAAATTTATATTTTATTCAAAAATAAAATCATTATCTTTTTCTCAAAGCCACATAAAAATCGTATTAAAACATCCACAGACGGAATAAAACGTAACAATAAAATCAAGATATATCTCATTGTATTGGACGATTAGTCGATTACCCTTCTAAAGTTCTAATAGATTAAAAAGTGTATATTTATATACACAAGCGGTCCGGACATCCGGTTGCATAGACCGCGAAAAAACCCGTTCACACTGTAACCCGTACTGGACTGCCCGGTTTGGCAATTTTCCCGACAGGACTGGACCCCTAAAAGCGTTCCAGTTTGGTTCAGTCTGACAGGTTTTTGTGGTCTATGGTTCTTTTGAACATCCCTAAGAATGATAAATAGAAATTAGTTATCGAACTGTATTTGTACCATCAGAACTGTGAACTGGGGTTTTGCTGACCACTCCTGTGTTAGGAACTGAATTCTTGCCATCATCATCTAATTCCTCAATCGTTATCTCCCTTTTGGACCCGACATCACCATCAAATTGCCAAGTGAAGAATGGATCATCGAATGGATCTTTGCCCCCAAATAATTTAGACATATTCCACTAAAAGAACACTAAGCAATTCAGGAATTCTACAAACATAAACATCAAAACATCTTCGTTATAAAACAACACGATTATAATTATGTATGTTTATATGCTCATACTCCATGAGTCCATGAGTACACTTCATTCAAAATTAGCAAAAATTACCAAAGCAATTCGATCGATCAGGCTCAAATTCAAACCATGATCCATAATTACAGTGATCATTGGCAAAGATGAACAAAACAATTCGATCAATCGGACTCGAATTCACACCATGATCCACAATTAGAGTTCATTTTCAGAATTTTTAAAATTGAACGAAACAAATACGATCAGTCGGATTCTAACCTCTGAAAATGAAGTACGAAACAAAAAACAAGATGAAACCCTACATTCCAACTTCCAATTTGATTGTGAAAATTTTCAGTTCAATATAACTTCAAAGATAATCAGATTGAAAAAGGAAAGCAGGTGACACACACGTAAATTTCAGCTACAGAACTTACATTGAAAGCAGGACTCCGAGTGTGCGTGAGAGAGATGATGAGAGAAGAACATTAGCAACAGAAGCTTCCAGAGAAGTCAGGAGAAGAAGGATGAGACCTACCGACTTCTTGAACTTTATTTTTTTTAATAATTTATTTTATCCTGATATAAATATTTACATTTTTTTTCATAATTACTAAAAGGGTATTCGTGATATGTAGCGAGATAAATTTCAATTTTAATGTTTAATTTTTATTTTTTGTTTTTATTAATATAATATGATTTTATGTGATTTTGAGAAAGCAATAATATTTTTATTTTTAAATGAAATATAAATTTGAAGATAGCATAAAATTTTGAAAAAAATAAATCGATATTAATATCAAATTAGTTATTTAATAGTTCTCGTATTTTTTGTAACTTCCTTAATTCAATTTTTTTTTATAATATAACAAAGTAATTTATTTTTAGTTTAACAATATAATTTTTATAAAGATAATAATTAAACATTCTGTTAGAACTCAATGATTATCTTAATTATATTTTAAATTTTTTATATTTAAAATTGATGTTTATCATATATTTGATTATTAAAAATGGAGCTTTAATAAGTTGTATTTACGTAAAATTACTTGCAATCTTGAATTTTAAGTAATATGCATCAATAAACAATACTTCATGCATAAAAAATGGTTTTTAAAAGTTTTTTGTCAAATGCTTTATAATATAGTATAGCTAATAGGATTTTTAATTTTTATAAAAACCTATTTTTTCTCTCTTGTCCATGTCACTTTAAACCACGGTTCTAAAATAATTCGTTATGTCCTTGTTAAGGCATCAAGGTTTCATTTTACCGCCACGTTAACCTCTATGGTTCCATACTTCCGTTGTAACGTGTTATGGCCTGTTGTGACGTGTTACGACGCGTTATTTTGTAAGACAAGTGTTTTTTTTTACTTTCTTAAAACATATAATTTGAGAGATAAATGATAATTATGTACGACACTTCATACTTAAATAAATATTAAAAGTAAACATAAAAACTGAAACCCTAAATTAGTAAATCCATAAGATTTAATCCTGATTTTACACTCTTGATATATAAAAAATCTTCTTATAAGCTAAAATATATTTGATACTGGTTTTTCTTTCATTTTTTAGTTTTATGACTTTATATGAATTTACAATGATTTATGAAATCATTCAAAACACTAACACACACAAGTATACATACGTATATGTATACATATGCTGCCTTAAGGTAAGTCTTGAGAAACGTTGTAGTCTCGCTATAACTCGTAAGGCTTGAGGCTTAACCTCGTCATCACATCATGTCTTACGTCATTCAGAACTTTGCTTCAAACTCATCAAACTGAGAGCATCTCTAACAGATTCTCCAAAATATAAAAAATAGATGTTTTATTCTCTATATTGCTCCAACAAATTATATATAATGTTTCTAAAATAGAGAAAACATGAAGGGAAAAAAACTCTTTAACTTTTAAAGAATTCTTTAAACCTTGATGTTGGAGAGAGAAATTATTATTTTTTTTCATTCGCATCAATGAGATTGAATTATTATTATTTTATATAAAGTTTTTTATAAATTATATTGGGATGATAAATTAGAGAATATTATAATAAAGTATAATTTATGTTAAAATCTCTAAAATAAAAAACTTGTTAGAGATTTTAACTTTCAGTTCTCTATTTTAAAGAAATTATAAAAAAACTGTTCGAGATGCTCTAATTTGTAAGTCTCTTGTATTTTTCCAACATCAATAATATATATATATATATATAGGTGGTTTGCATTTGATCATTCATCTCTCTCTCTCTCTCTCTATATATATATATATATAGGGGCCTAATCAAATGAGAACTAATTAGTTTGTGGTAACTGTAAGAACCAATATTAACCACAAATCAATAGATAAATTAAGAAATTTATAATTGTGGCAATTTTGAATTAAAATATTAATGCAAGGATATTTTTGGTATTTTAAAACTTTCCTCCCTCCTCTCTTCTCTCTCCGGCCAACGTCCTCCGGTGATACTACAATTGTATCATAATGCATCATATATGTGCTTGGGTATCACATTGATGTCGTTTGTGTGGTCGATCGAAGATGTAACACAGTGGTATCACTATRCATCTTATRTATGATTAKGTATCACAATGTATCTTTTGTTTAACATAGTCAATATTTTTAGGTATNCACCGGAGGACGGAGGCCGGAGAACGGTGGCCGGAGAGAAAAGAGAGGAGAGAGGAGAGTTTTAAAATACCAAAAATATCCTTGCATTAAGATTTTAATTTAAAATTACCAAATTTATAAATTTCCTAATTTATCTATTGATTTTAATTTAAAATTACCAAATTTATAAATTTCCTAATTTATCTATTGATTTGTGGTTAATATTGGTTCTCACAGTTACTACAAACAACTTAGTTCTCCCTTGAATAGGCCCCTATATATATATATATATATATATATATATATTAATAATTATAAAGTCAATAAAATAAATTAAAAAAACTAAAAAAAAATCATTTCACACCAAATTCAAGGTAAGAACCAATGTTCTTGTGTAATAACTTAAAAGGATGTAAGGTTCTTATAAAAAACATCTTCAATAGTAGTTTTATAAAAATCTACATTTTTACTTGTAAAAACCTCCCATTAGAGATGTCCTCAAAGCTCTGATATTAGACGTAAATATGTTATTTATGGATATTTATTTTGGGACAAAAAAAGTAATGATTTGGTCTACTTGGTTTGCTCGGTATTGTGGATTTAGCTTATTTTATTTCAGTGCGCTATTAAAAAACAGACTGAAATTGTCTATACTTTGCTTTAAGATTTTTTTGTATTAAATACAGTTCAAGGATCAAAATCATAACTTACTCCATGTCAAGACCAACCAAACTGGAAAGTGTCTATACTTTGCTTGGTTTCAAATCTTTTGATAGGAGCTCTTAATGATCACATCTGGTTTTAAATCTTCAAATAGGAGTTTTTGATGATGATATAAGATTTAGGTAGCAAATTATAGATAGAAACCTGTAGTAGGGGAGATGGAGACAAGGGAAGGGTAACAAGTTGTGAGTTCTATTAACGTTTCCTACTTTGTTTGTCTACCTTCATACTGTAACATCCAATTTCTAATATGCCCAATTATTTGCTTAGTATATTTAATTATTGGGTTAAATAGAACTTATGATTTAGTGGGAGTTTGGGTCTGAAATTTTAGAATTATACTTCTTAGGAGTATATTAGAGGATTTGGGAAAATTTTACGTCAAATAGATACGTAAAACGGATTTTCTTGGGAGATATTTTATGGAATTTTTTTGTTGGATATTATAGATTCTCTTTATGATCATGTAGGCAAAAACCTCATAGAAAACGGAGGTCCGAGCGAAAAGTTATGAATATTTTAAGTGTTGGTAGTAAAAATGGGTACCTAGTCGGGCCAACCCGGCCTAACTCGAGTTTTAGCATTATAAATTGGAGTTTTGGCCCATTTTTCATGTCATCTAAGTCCAGAACTCACACACACACACTAGAAGTGCGATTTTCACACACATAGGCTTGATTCAACTCAAATCAAATAAGAACTACAAGATCTTTGAAGAATTTGATCATCAAGTAAGGTATAATCTATTTTTGCACTTGTTCTTGCTTGGCATTCTTGTTATATGGATTGCATGTTGAGTTAGAGTTAGGGTTTCATATGGGTTTGATCTTATGTGTATAAAATGAGTGCATTTTAGTGTTTTTGGCTTGAAATGGTCATTAGATTCAAGAGATTATCAAGATTTATGCAAGTTCATTATATGAACTTTGACTTGATTAAGTCAATGATTTGGGAGATAATATAAATGATAAAATAAAGGTTGTATTTTGGTTGTTTATGTCAAATATGTTATATTAAGTTGAGATTCAGAAGTTGGAATGGTTTGGAATCGAAATGGTTTGAGAAAAATATATGAAAATGAGAATTTCGACTTTTGAATGCATCAAAAGTGTGCAGACTTTGAAAATCTGTATAAAATAGTAGAAAAATCCAAAGGAGGTGAGGATAATTTCATTAGTTAGATATTTGAGTCTAGTTTGTTTCTTATTTTATGATCAAGGCATGAATTCGAGTTTAAAATGGGCAAAATAGTTCTGCATGCAGCAGCTATACATAGAAATTTAGGTAAAGTGTTCAAATAGGATATGTGTATATCATGAGTTTCTTATATTAGTTGCTTATGAGATTTTGTGCATTTACTCCAGGGGGTAATTAAGACATATTTTGATACTTTGGAAGCAATCTAAATGTGGTAGATTGGACTTGCTTTGTGAGCTCAATTCGGAGCTTTTCGGTATTATACGGTTGCCTGGTGAGTTACATAGTTAATAGTTACATATTTATTTGAACATATATATTTCAAATGAATGTTTTGGTCTTGAATGGAGTCACACGATCTTAATTTGTCTTTGATTCCGTCTCTTGAGTTGATTCCTTATTACTATCTCGGTACATCGGTTTGCTTTCTGGATCCGGACTTGTTTGTTTTGTTCCTTGAGTTGTACGCCATAGTACGGGTACTACTTCGTGAAGCATGCCTGAAGTTTATGGCGAAGTCAAGATCCCGGGTTGGACGGGTGAGACTTTCTGTGGTTGTGAATACTCATTGCTCAGAAAGGAGGAAGAGCAATGAGTAGGGAACCTTGGCACATACCCGGTAAAGGAAGGCGGGCAGTGCGAGGTTTCCTGTAATGTATGATTCTGACTCGGACTTTGGCATGAGCCCGAAAGGTGAAGGACGGGGGGATGCACTGTCCTCGTTATGTATACCGATTCGATCTCTTGGTTCTTGATATTTATTGATAATTCTAACGTTGCTGAATATATTTGGTTGTTGATCCTGTCTCCTTGTTGTATTAAGCATCAATGATATGATATACTATGGTGATTTGAATATGGAATCCTATGATCTTAGCATCCGGTAAGTAATTGTTCACTCGGTTTTCTTGTAAGTCTCGGTTTGCATCTGGATGATGTTTTGAACTATTTTATTGATAAGAGTTTATTATGTATGTTTATAAATATGTGCGATATTGATATGTAATACTTAACTATTTAACTCACTAAGTGTTGGCTTACCATTTAAGTGGCAACCTCTCTCAGGAAAGGAGACGGATAAAAAGAAAGAACTCGTTGTCTGACTTGAAGATTTATCGGGGAACTTGAAGATATCGAGCTTGCTTTTGGGTAAATAGTATCCTATTACTGTATCTCATAGTTGTAGTATGTGTAGCTTATATATAGTCTTGCCACGTATTCTTTTGCTACATAATTCGGATTGTAAGTAAAAACTCCGTTATATCCGGTTTGGAATTGTGTTTTGGGTGGTTTTATCACTAAAATAGAACGGATATTTCGAGGTTTTCTAACCATATTTTGAGGTTAATTAATGTTATGCTCAGATCTGTGTGATTTAAATGGTTGGTCCATTTTCATTGCCTCTGGTCCGACCATTGCATCTGGTCCGACCATTGCCTCTGGTCCGACCATTGCCTCTGGTCCTTCATAGCCTCACCTCTGATCTTCTTCCAGACTTAGCCATTTCAGCAGCCTCTGGTCCATTGTCTGCCTCTAGACCAATTCATTGTCTCTGGTCTTCTTCCAGACTTAGTTGTTTCAGCATCATTTTCAGATTTTCCATCCTTGGCCCCGATTGTTTTGTCAAAACTTTTAGAATAATTTAGGATCAATTTTTGGTCCTAATAATTAATAAATTAGATCTTATTGGAGATTTTATAAAAATTGGTAATTTGAGGTTTGCTCAAGCGTGATGTTACACATACACAGTTGTATGAATTTCGACAGCCCACTAGTCTTTTCTTTCTTGCTTATATCAGTAGCTGTCAGTAAGGAATTTTTTGTTTTAACCTATCTTCTGCATGTTTGTCACTGTTGCCTTGCACTGTCTCTCAGTCGCATGTGTCTTTGTCTTCTATTTTTTGTTTTGCAAGCTCGAGTTCTTTACAGAAATAACTCTTCTGCCCATTGTAAAAGAAAGGTATGCGTACATCCTACCCGTTAAAACTCTTACCACCAAATGGGATTCACTTGGATTGTTTGATTTGGTTTTTAAATATTTGAAGAAAAATCTACTTTCGGTTGTGGACATTTTAGAACATCAGTTCTTGGTATGGTATAACACAGGTGTTCTTTACGGTATTAGTATTTTTCAAATTTGAAAAACAATTAGGTTTTGATTTACATTTTTCAAATGAGAAAATTATCAAAAAGGCAACAAATCTTGTATTCATTAATATTCAGTATAATGAAGATCTTTTTCTTAATCAGTATAACGAAGTTTAAAAATCTTCCATTGTATATGTTATTTAACTGATAACTTTTTTTTTTATTTACCTGGATATTCAACCCGCTATGCAAGCCGACTAATCCTAGGACGACCACTTGCTTTGCAGATAGCCCAGAGTCACCGGATTTGAACATTCTTAGCCATAAGGGGATCTTTATTTCTCTTTGTATTTGAACTTGGGGACCTCCAGATACTTTTGACATTTAGAGTCAAACTCAAACCAATCAGACACCACCCTTGTGGTTAATAATCTTATAACATTTAATAACGTAAATACAAAGTCCACCGTCTCATAATGTTATAATCACGCTAGAATCCGCCTCATGCAAATCTTGCACTCAAACAAGATATAAATTCGTATTTTAGGCACATGATCTTTGATATAAATATGATCTTTTTTCAAGTCTTGTTGTAACCTGCCAAGTTCGAGCAAAGCAATTTTTAGGCTCATCTGACAAAAAACCAATTAGTTCACAACTATAATAGGTTCTGAGAATTTTCTCTGTATCAAAATCTCCGATGATTCATTTTAATGAAATAAAAACCAACGATGCCAATAAATAAATAATACTACCATGTTGAATCATACGACACTAAAGCCTTATTTGTTTTATAAAAAAAGCTCTTATATCTGGTTCGTTAAGAGATAAAGTCATTCAGATTGTTTTTTTACTTCCAATTTTTTGGAGGCACTTATGTCTTATTGTCCTCTTATCTGGTAAGAGGTATACCAACATCTTATTTGCATCTTATTGTTCTCCAAACTCTCAGCAACACGTTTCTCAACCAATTAACCTTAATAGATCATTTCTCTCAATCGATCCTTACCAAATCTATCCTCATCTCTCTCAATCGATGTATTTTAATAGGATTTAAATATGTTAAATACCGTTAATGGCATATTTTCGTTTAAATGAACGCTAATTATATAATTTAGATGTAAATATCGTATGATGAATAAATATGTAAAGTTGTATAAATTTATCTATAAATTCAATACTATAATTTTCTAATGGATAAAATAGACAATTTAAAACAAATTCCGACATTATCAGTTTATAAAAACAAACAGTTTTATTGATTCAGATTCAAACTTCAACATCACCTCTTATTAATCAGAAGTGAAATAAGACTTCAAACTTTAACACCTCTTAAAAAACAAACACCATCTAAGGTGCTATTTGGTTCATGAAATTCATAGGATTTCAAGGGAATTAGAATGATCAATTCATTTGTTGGTTTACTTCTTGAAATGAATGGAATCATTTAAATTTTTTTGAGTTCTACAAATTAATGAATTCATCATGACTTGGCATAAATGAAAGAGATGAATTTTATTACCTTGCATCCAATTTGACTAACACCTTCCACACTTGCCCCACCACCACACCATTATTGTCAATCTTCACAAGCCTCATCCCAACAAACCTCAACCCAGCACTGACCAACATGCCACTATTGTCATCGTCACAACTGCCATCCCAACCCGCTACTCGACCACCATGTCACTGTTGTCGTTGTCACAACTACCACGCTGTCACCCACCCTACAGACCACCATGCCACTAGGATGTGCATCGGGCGGGTTCTGTGGAGAAACCAAAAATCCAATCGGATTTTGGATATGGAAACCAAGACCCGGAATTTAGGTTTCAGATTGCTTCGAGTTCGGATTGATCGGATTTTTAGGTTGAGATTGGTCAGGTATGGGTATAGTTATAATGCAAAAGGGGTGTGTGTATGTGTGTGTGTGTATATATATATATATATATATTCAATTGATTTTTAGGATAAATTCAATCGACTGAGTGGATTGATAAAATAGATAGCATGTTTATAAATTAGACTAGAGTACGACCGACTAGGATTTATGATTTTTCAAAAAATAATTAGATAAATAAATTTATTTCTATAATATTTAAAATATATATGTATATATATTTCGGGTTTTCGGATGAATCGAGTGGCCAAAAATCAAACCCAATATGCACCTAATGTCCCGCTAAATTTCGGGTTTCGGATTTCAGGGCATTAAGTTTTTGCACAAAAATGTTACTTTCAGTTTGTGTTCCTGTTCGGATTTCGTACCATTCGGGTTTTGCACACCCCTACATGCCATCATTGTCGTCAGCACAGCTAACTCCACTCACCCACCACCACTATGCTACTATTGTCGTCGTCGCAACTACCACCTCTATCCACCCCCAAACAAAAATGGAGATTTCAATTCTATCGAAAGATTCCATTCCAATTCTTATCAACAAAAAACGTGGTCAAATTCCATAAATTTATTCTATTTCATTTAAAGCCAAATTTATTTGATAAATTCTAATTTCATACAATTCCATTTTACGAATCAAAAGCCACCTAAAACTACATTTGATTCCAAGATTTCTATGGGATGTAAATGAATTGGAATGACGAATTGTAATGTTCACAAATTTCATCATTCCAATGTATATGTGATTTAAATCTCATTCTTGCCCTCCACTGCCGCCGCCACTAATACTACTACCACCAATCACGTTATATACTATTTTATAATCTTAAGATTTATTTGTTTACTTCTTAATAATTTCATTAAAAGATAGTTCTAAATCATTAAAAGATAAATTTTGTTTGATAAAAAAACTTTCTTTTGTCTCTTAATGGTTCTAAAACCCTCTGAATAATTTTGTATCATAAGTCTCCTTTAACCATTCTGCATCATAATTTCATTATAAATAATTACCAAACAATTATATTTTATTTTGCACTATTTCATAAAAGCCTCTTGATCATTCAACATCAAACCATTCAACAACTATCAAACAACCACTTAAAAAAGGTATAAAATTATTATAAAAAGATATTTTAATCATCTATTATTATTGTATTTGCAATTCCAAAACCATATTCAAAGAGATTCCATTCCAATTTAACTTCTACCAACCAATCACCTAAGTCAAACTTTATTGAATTTGACTAGATTCCATTTTGCAAACCAAACGTACCCTCACAGTTTTTAATAACTGTAGGCATCCAAATCAAGAGCTTGTACACACCTTGACCGATATCATGAGGTATTGAAAGCCACACAAACCTCCATAAGCTCGAAAGAAACTCAAACATATAACCAATGGAAGAAGAACCCAATATCTTACGAGTTGAGCTACCCCGAATGGTTTGGGCGTTTAATAGTTCGTTATAGGCAACTAAACTTCAATAAAGAAAAAACGTAACTTAATAATCCACATGTTGTCGGATTAAGTAAAAAATTAATGCTAGATAACAATGTAAAAGACACCCACTTGAAATAAGAAGCTTTTCTTTTGGCTTGTACAAAAATAAGTCTTCTCTAGGAGACGAGAGTGCTGGCGGTGGTCGACTCGCTGCAAAAATAGGTGAGAATGTTGTATGAGTACTACATATGTAAAATTCATGATCAATGGAACAAGCTTGCTTTCATAGGAAGAGTTATAAGAAGAATAACTAGTTAAGCATATTTGTCAACTCAACAAAAACTTTGGTTTACGAGCAGACAGTAAAATTAAGGTAACCGAAGCTCCTATCGATTTGTTTTATCAAGTTCCAATCGCAATATAGCCATTTCAGACGATGAAACAAGACATGTCTTGACCTAGAAAATGGTGATGTAATAAGACACTTTTAAGTATGTACAGTCACATATAGTATACACCTATAATACATAGGGGGCTAACAGTGGCGGATCCAGGAAATTAATGGGGTGGGGGAGGCAAGCATATGGCCATATGGGCCTGGGGGGAAACCATGTAAGACGAGGGTAAAAATAGAAAATTTAAGCTAGTCAACAAACGTTTTTGGTCTTTGACTGGGGGCCTTTCCCCCCAGTCCTTAAGGGCTAGATCCGCTGGGGGCTAATCATTTTAGAACCCATAGAATTGTGAGGAACATTTGGCACTAGTGCATTATGTGCAATTTCATACGATTCTTTTATCTGTATATATACACAACAGATAAATAATAAATACCTCTGTTTTCCCTCTTCTTAAAATAAAGAGAGAAGAAACAAAGTGCATCTCGACACTGGACTAGTCCGGATTGGAATTCAACTAATATGAAATTCCTATGGAAGTCGAATACAAACGACATTCATGAACTTATGTTGCAATCAAATAGCAAAGAGCAACAAAACATCAAATCTGTCCTCAAGGAAATAAACATTTGAAGTTAGAGATTAGGGATTCACAATCATCTATGTAACAAAAAGGTAGAAAATAATGCCATGGTGGTGGAGATCTCTAAAAGCCTCTATACATAATAAATATGGACCGACCCAACTGCCAAAATCACTATTTAATGTCACTTTATGCACAGGGGGAAGCCCTTATGAGTGCTAACTCAGGCTCATTGTGTACCACCACGACAGAAGGATACCAAGAGGAAGCAAGAATTTGGGCACAAATATCAGAAATCCATTCCCCTGATCACAGTACAGATACTTAGCGTACTTGTCATTGTGACCCGGACTAGCTAATATAATTCTAATATAGTTTCTTCATTTCCAAGACGGCCAAGTTCCCTAGCTATGCGTAAAGAATACAGTTCTACATCTACGTGGTTGTTTGATTGAATTAAAAAAGGTTGAATCGAAAACAAGCAGCCTCTTGCATTCCGTGTGCACAAAATTATGGCCAACATATGTGATGGACTCAATTAACTTAAAATAGGAATATAAGATTATGAAATTTGAGAATATAAGAAGAGAAACATTTAAAAAGACAACGTACTATTTCCAAACAGGTGCCAACTTCTTGGTCTTCTTGTAGTAGCGAGCAAGACGGTGGATCCTGCTCTCAACAAGAATCAACCTGAATTTGGAATCTTTGTCCTTCCTGTTCCTCTCCAAGTGCTTCCGGATGGCAACTGCTTTCTTGATGAGGTGATATAAATCCTCAGGGATGTCAGGAGCAAGCCCTATCAAACCAATAAGGCAATAACCATAACAAGTTAGCTTACTGTCTTCTTAGCACAACTGCACAAGTAACATCAACGGGAAAATGCCAACAAAATAGAAATGCATACCATGTCCCTTCAATATACGCAGAATCTTGCTTCCGGTTACACTATTCACCTGAGCAATCCCATGAGAATCACGCAAAATAACTCCAATCTGAGATGGGGTCAAGCCCTTTTTGGCGATCTTGCATATATTCTCCTCAACCTGGGATTCAGAAAAATGATTCAACAAATAAGAATTAAACTAGCAATCTAATTCATTTCACCTATCAATTGAAATGTTAAAAAGGGAGAGAAAACATGAAAATTGCCATTTGGAAGTAAGAAAGCAATTGGGAATCCATTTTAAACTTTAACTTTCAGAGATTGGTGAACTAGTAGGATGAAGTCAATTGAGCATGCAATCTTGTAAACACCAGCAAAACTACAATTTACATAACCAGAAAAGCAAATCAGTCAGCTTGCAAGGTCTAATGACAACAGAGAGAAACAAACAATAACATCATAGTTATGCTGACGATTAGAACTCAAGCATTGTTTTTTTTTTTTTATTAACCTGGATATCCAMCCCGCTATGCGAGCCGACTAATCCCAGGGCGACCACCTGCTTTGCAGATAGCCCGGAGTCACCGCATTTGAACCTCCGTGGCCACAAGGGGATTTTTTTTCCTCCTTGGATTTGAACCTGAGACCTCCTAATACTTTTGACCTTTGAAGCCAAGCTCAAACCAATCAGGCACCACCCATGTGTAGGGCTGTAAATGAACCGAACGTTCAGCGAACCGTTCGTGAACCGTTCGGCGGGAAGTTCGTTTATTTAATAAATGAACGAACATGAACAATTTTTTTTTGTTCGTTTAGTTAAACGAACGAACATGAACAAGAGTCTCGTTCGTTCATTTATGTTCGTGAACGTTCGTTCATTTACCGTTCGTTTATATTCGTTCGTTAATATTCGTTCGTTTATGTTCGTTTATATATTAAATTTAATATATAATCTTTTATTTATTTACTTTGAATTCAAATAATATTTATTTAAGTTCTTTTAACCTGTTCGTTTATGTTCATTTAGCCCGTTCGTTTATATTCGTTCGTTTACGTTCGTTTTGCATGTTAATGAACGAACATAAACGAACATGAACATACCTTATTTCTAAACGAACGAACACGAACACAAAGATTTTCGTTCGTTTACCGTTCGTGTTCGTTCGTTTATTCGGTTAAGTTAAACGAACGAACATGAACAAGCATCCGTTCGTGTTCGTTCGGTTCGTTTACAGCCCTACCCATGTGGTTAGAACTCAAACATTGTTTTCACCATGTTCTCTGAGTAATTTAATTTAAACAAGTTCATTGTTAAATGAACAACATAAATTATAGTTATGATCACACACCAAAGTCCAAAGCTGATGGCATGATATACGCGGTCAGTGCATCTCTCATTTTAAAACTTGATACTTCCATATCCAAATTTAAATTTGATTTCAGTATTTTTAGCTCTAGACCTTATGCATGTCAATCCTTCTTTAATAGAAAATGTGATTATCAATTTCCTTAAACCCAAAACATTACAATCAATTCTAAAAATCTATAACCAACCCATCAAACCCTTGAAAATCAAGCACAAATTCTAACCTAACAATAAAAAAATGCATATATTCATAAATGTCATCATGTTTACAACCTAAATGAACAAGTCCCAACTGCACTATATATATCCTGCAGTATAACTCATAACCTAAATGAGTTATCAACATTCATAACATCTCAGCTTTCTCATCACAAACTAACCATTAGACTTTACAAATTTTGTCCAAGATCATTCATTTTTGCAAAATTTAGTGACGTTTTTTATTGCATTATAGCAAAAACCACTACATGTTTGCTAAAAAAACCATGTTAGATGGTTTAGAAGTCAATAACGCACATAAATCAACATACAGAAGACACAGATAAGTATTACATTTTTTCCCTTTCAGAAACAAACCTATTCAAAAAGTTTCTGTTCCGCATATGAATGATTAAAAACAAGGATGAATATAAGAAAAATGCTGGTGTCTCTTACATCCTGAGATGAAATCTTCAGCCAGCTCGGTGGACTTCTCTTGTATGGCTTAGCTGATGCGGAAATACCCTTCCTGTGCACCAAAATCACAAAGTGAAATCAGAAAAAACATGCATTCACACACACACACACAAGTCACAACAGACATATGAAGATAGAGATAGAAAGTACCCTCCACTGTGCATACGACCCATGGCTGACGACGGTGAGTGGAGGCGGAGACACTCTGAAATTCAGACGGAATGTGCCGACGGAGACGCTCTGTGAACTTTTCAAAACCCTAATGCAAAGTGGAGATGAAATCATGAAATGCAGAAGTTTAATTACCATTTATATTTTTTGTTTATTTGCAACTTAACCCCTGGGTTTTAGTTAAATTCATTTCCGGCCCAAATTGCATCCCAAAAAGCATCGGGCTTTCTTTACGAGGCTTAGGGTCTGTTTACCAAATTTTCCATTAAGTTCTGTATGATAAATTTGTTTGTCTAGATAAAAATTTGTTATTGTTTATTTTTTTTACCTGAATCAATCGTTTAAATGACAATAATGACCGATCTACCCCTCAAACATGTGTGAACTTTACAGCAGTTCAATCAAACTCAAACCAAAAATCTATTGTTCATCAAACCAAAAAGCTACCAATCTATCAAACTATTTGAACATTAAAACATAATAATAAAACATTTGAACATTAAATTATCAAAACATAATAATCAAACCATTTAAACATAAAAAAAAAACTATTGCTACAAGAATCGAATCAAAATCAAAATCAAAACAGAAGGTTGTTTGTTCATCAAACCAGAAAAACTATTGTTCTTCAAACCAAAATGTAAAAATACCCAAAATAATACACACAAACACAACAGTAGCTTGGAATCGACTTCTGATACTTGTTATATTTACTTATGTCTCTTCGATCGAAGTTTGTTCTTATCATCGACGGTGCAATGGGGGAGGAACAGAGCAAAGTCGACGGTCATAGGGAAGCAGTGACGAAGGAGGAGTCAAGCAACAATGACGAAGGAGGAGCAGTGACGGAGGAGGTGCAGCAGCAACGACGGGGAAGGAGAACTTTTTCTCTGTGGCTAGGGTTTGAACTTTGAAGGGAAGCGCCGGAAGGAGGAATCGACGGGAAAAATTGGTACATGTGTTGATGAAAATCAAAGGAAGAAGGACGTCAGCTGGAGAAAAGTTGTCAAAGAAGAGGTGTAGCGATGGAGAGAAGTAGGGAAAGGTTGTCGGAGAAGAGGCGCAACACCGTTCTAGAAGCGATTTGGCTAGGGTAGGGGGTGGGAGAAGGTCCAAAGGGTAAAGGTTAAACCAATTCTTATCTTTGTAGATGCATAAAAGTTGTGAATATTTGAACGTGGATTGCTCCTGTATCAACTTCTTCCTTCAATTGAGGTTTTGGATCTGTTTCAGTAAGGTTATAATTATGCTGGCATTAATAACACCGTCGAAGATGAAGAAAACAAACACAAGGTCAACATCGTACAATAGACGTATATGAGCACATAGACTTCAAATCCTTTTTTTTTCTAAAAGAAACCCCCTCTCCAGTTATTCAGTTATAAAGTTTGGGGTTGTTTTTGAAAGGTGTTGATAAGTTGAGGGGTTAAAGTTGTTTATGTGCATAAAACTTTTAAAACTCTCACCCCTCTTAATTGTTTATGGGTGGAAATATGAGATGATAATTTTATCTCATAGGTTTAGTAAAATAAGAAAAGTAAGTTGGTAAGGAAGAAAAAGCTTCTGAGTGTGTTCTTTGAATTCGACAAAACAAAAACCTAAGAGGGAAGTTAGAGAAGTTGATTTTGTGTTATTGTTTGGATAATCTGTTGTTGTTCATCTTTGTATCTTTATCTCTTTGTGATTTATAAGGTAAGTTTAATTTTACCAACTTTCCTTATTTGGAAACTGGAGGTAGAACCATATGGTTCTTTTTGTGAGTTGTTGTTATAAAACTGTTTTGATGATATATGTGGCAGAATTATGGGTTTTTGTTATGTTTATATCAATGTTGGAATAAGGGTGGCGTATCAAAGAGATGTGTATTTTAGTTATAAGAGTGACATATCAAGAAAATGTGTATACTGGGATAAATGTGATATATCAAAGAGAGATGTATATCAGGATAAGAGTGGAAAAATCATGAGTTATAAAATTTGAGTTCTTGATCAACATTCATTGTTATCGCATTCTTATGATGCGATGAATGTACTTATTGCACCTATATGATGCGATGAGTGAATTTATTGCATTCTTGTGATGCGATAAAATCAACTTATTGCACCTGTATGATATGACAAATTGGGTTTATCGCACCAGTGTGATGCGATGAGATGAAGTTCTCGCACCAGTGTGTTGCGAGGAGATGAGTTTGTCTCACCCATGTGATGTGATAAATTTATATAATTTTCTATATGATGCGACAAGTTTGACTGATAACGTGTTTATCAAGTTATTGGGTAATTGAATGCGATAAATGAGTTGGTTATATCAAAATGATGTATATTTGTTATTATTACAAATACGATTTCATAAATATGATTTGGTGATTATTCATCCTGTAATAGCATCATGAGATTTCTCACTAGATCTCAATGTCTAACCCTAATTTTGTGTTTAAAAATGTGCATTACAGGTCAAGCACAACCAGAGGACAAGTGGAAGGGGAACTTGTGAAGTGATAATTATATGCTTGGATGGGTTATTAGGCTAGCATATTATTCTTTTGTATCTGGATACTTGTTATGTATTCATGTGTTGTATAGAGATTTTGTGGAAAAAAGTTGTTAACTAGTTTGTAATATAGCTTATGTAAGAGAATGATACCAAATGTGTAAATTATATTTCTTGATATATGGAAAATATATGTTTATATGCAAATGTGATCTTGAGGTGTTACAAATATGGAGGTCGGAGATTGGTGGGGAAGATCTTGGCTGAGGCATGAGGCAATAGATTGGCGGTCGTGTTCGAGGAAGACGATGCGACAGTGGTTGTGAGGAACGTGATCGATGTTGTTTGTGTGTTGTATATGTGTATGTATGTATGTGTTTGTGTGTGTGTGAATTAACACACACACACACACACACATATATATATATATATATATATATATATATACATACAGAGAGAGAGAATGTGTGTGTGAGAGAGAGATTAGGGAGGGAAGGGGAGGACTCTTGACATCATACAAGTGCATAGACAGACCCAATATAGAGCATACGATGGTCCGTGCCACTGTATTATTCATCCATCGTAGTGTAAAAAAATTAGGGTCGTAAAAAATGCCACAATATTATTTTGAAACTACAATGAGAACACATTTTTTTCTTGCTAGAGTTAGTTTGCAAGACTTTATTCCACCTTAGACCCGTGTTCGAATCATATATTCTTAGTTTGTAACATTTAATTTCAGATCTATTATATTTCCGAAAAAGATTTACAATAAAATACATGAACACGGGACCTCACATATGAAAAACAATGAATTAACCAACATATCAATGATGATTTTGTAAAAAAAAATATCCCTATATTTATTTATTATAGTCAAATGGTGTCAGCGTTTGAAAAAAATTATGAACCCGTCCCTGTCTAAGTGGTAGTTTAAAATATTTTTAATTAATGGGTAAATTGACAAAAATACCCTTTAGTTAACCATTAGAGTCTATCGAGAGAAGAAAGGAAAATAGTTCTTTTACGATAATTGTTGTTTTTGTCGTTAACAAATTGATGAAATAAACCAGAATATCCCTGACTTAATAGAGGTAGTGCAAATAGACATAATCCTTAATTTTCATTAAAACCAGTTGAATGAAATTTGTAATTTACCCAAATAATTATGAAAAGCCATTAAAATGAATGGAAGATATTTGGTTTTTTAAGAAATGTATGAGTATTTTGGTTATTTAGGTAAAACATGAAGTGGAAAAATAACTCTGTAAGCTTAATAAAATGTTATTTCAAGTAACGTTTCAATAAGTTAACTTATGACAAACTAAACAAGTATTTTTTTTTAATAATCTTGGGAAGTAAACCAGTTTATAAACTAACTTATGGTTGTAAAAAATTAGATATGAGAATTGACCCCGACCCGTCGGGAACCCGACCCACCCATCCTGGTTGGGGATGAGGATTCCTCGTTAAACTGGGTCTCGGAGACAAGGATGGGGATTCCCGTTTGGCTCAAACCGAGGATGGAGAAAGAGAAGGGATCCCCGTCCTTGTACCTGTATATATTAATTAATTATATTATATATTATTTATTTCTATTAAATCGATAAATGGTAATTTTAATTTCAATATATTTTGGATATTACTAAATGTGGTTTTTGATATTACTCGATATGTCTTGGTATATGTGACATTAATTTTTTTAGATTAAATTTAATTTCTTTTGGTTTTCGATTTATTAATTACTATATGATGATGTATAACTTTTATATTAAATTAAATTCCTTTGATTTTAGGTTTATTGGAAAAAATGTGAGACTTAAACATGTGTAACGTCTCCTACATTTGATTTTAAAAAAACTTACAGAAATGGGAAAAAAAAATCTCATTTCTCCGTTGGGGATAAAAATGGAGATATGATCAAATTTTCCGACCGAGATAGAGACGGAAATAAGGACAAAGATGGGGATTAGGGACAGGGACGGGAATTTGGGTCCCCGCCCCGTTAATACATACGAATAAAGATCTAAATTACAATTTGTAAATTTCGTTCATTTTACGTAAATTTCATATCTTCGTCAATGCTTATGAAAATACAAAGATGTGATATTTAAAAAAGATAATAATTGATTTTTTTTTCAAACACAAGTACAGTAACAGTTTAATGAGACATCCAAACAAAAACGATTTTAGGCTGTTCAATTTTTAGGTTAAAATGTTCGTTTTTTGGTTATTTTTTACTATTTAGGGTTAAATTAAATACCAAATTATGCTAGTATTTTGTTTATTTTACTTGTATGAGTTTATTAAAAATAGAGGCAATTGAGAGTATAAAGCTAGGGTTGTAAATGACCCGAACATTAGCGAACCGTTCGTGAACTGTTTGGTGAGAAGTTTGTTTATTTAATAAACGAATGAATATTAACATTTTTTTTTGCTTAGTTAAATAAACGAACATGAACAACGGTCTCGTTCGTTCATTTACGTTTGTGAACGTTCGTTCATTTATGTTTGTGAGTGTTCGTTTCGTTCGTTTATAACATTAATATGTAAATCATTAAATTAAATTAAATTTTTAGAGTTGCTTTTTTATCTCTACATTTACTTAGGGGCCGTTTACCAAACATTTACCTGGTAAGCACTTATCGGGAAAATTCAATACTATTATTTATTACCTGGTAAGATTTTAGTCAACAAAAACGGCTTTTTATGTAACAATTTACCCGGTAAGAGCTGACCATGGTAAGAGTCATTGCACTCACTTACCGAGTAAGACTCTCGGTCTTTGCCTAGCTCTTACCGGGTAAGATTCTTGGTCATTGTTATATTCATCCAGTAAGGTAATGTAACTTGGTAAGCGCTTACCCGAGTAAGCATTTGGTAAACGGCCCCTTAGTTTTCATTTTGTTAAGTTATTAGGAAGAAGCCCCAGAAGTTATAAAGGATATGAACACATGCAATTGGATACAAGTGTGTGAGCATCTTTAACAACTTCTTGAATTTTTTTTTAAATAGAGAATTAAAAGTGAAAATTTTTAAAAAAGTTTACAGTTATCTGTATCAGATTTTTCATTTTGAAGAATCCAATATTGATTATAACATTAAAATATTATTTCTCTTGGAAATATAATAAATACTATTTTTCTCACATGATAATCATTTTTGCGTATTTTCCTACTTTTTTTTATTTTGTGAATAGTTTTAGGGAACTTGTTGGATACCAAAAACGATCCAAAATCAACATTTTCATCATTTTGAAGTATTTGTTGAAGATACTTTTTAAGTTCCAATGAGAATGAAAATCATGATGAAAAAGGTAATGCTTGTGATTGAAGACCAACACTAGAAATGTACCAAATCAATTCCGTATCAAACGCGATTCATAAGTAAGAGAGAGTAAAAATATCAAGAATTCAAATCCATTGTTACGCTTTTCATCTTTTAACTCCATTTTCAAATCATCTTTTGTCTTTGCACCTAAACCCCTTTTTTCTCATCCAAATTGTTCTTTCATCAAAATACATTGCTTTTTTGCATTTAACTCTTTTACAAAGTTAAAATCTTCAAAACTTGATATATATATATATATATATATATGTGTGTGTGTGTGTGTGTAAGCCGTTTGAAATGCAACTCATCACATTTGTACAACTAATGCAATTCAATCCAATCAATTGAGATATTTATGAAGATGATAAGAGTTCATTTATCATGATTTGAATATTTATGTATGATGATTAGGGTTCATTAATTATGATCAATACTTTATATCAAGAAACAGTAAAAACTTTTATAAAATCACATATTTATCAAATTAAATGGACAATTGAAATTAAGTTGCATTGATTATACAAATGTAAAAAGTTATATAATAACTCACATCTCTCCCTATATATTCGAGGGCGCCTTTTCCTTAAGCATTTCTTTCTCCATCTAAGGTCAGGGAGGAACCTGAGGGAAAAACCGCTTTCTTACCGGAAGAAAGAGGGAGCCTGGGAATCACAAGAATTTAAAAGTCCTTCATTGAATGGGATGAGAAAGACAGGTTCGGAAATGGCCGGATTAGCAGGAGGAAGGGCGRCCCCACCCTGAAACAAAGGTGTACGTACATAAATAAAGAGACTGGTTATGGCCTTGATAGGGCTCCTTCCCATCTATCTTGACCGGGAAGAGGGGGGAGGCTCTTGCGGAAGCCCTGCCCGCCCTTCTCTATTCTATTTTGAGGATCCCTCTGAGGAGGCTTTCCGGACTCGTAAAAGGCTAGGAACAAGAATAGGGTCAGTAGTCTCCGCCGTTGCAGGTCCTTCTCCTTCCGCTGAGATGGCCCTCTTTTTGTTTTGTTTGTTCACCGCAACACGAAATCATGAAGAAGCTGGAATAACTCAGAAAGAGAGTGGCGCCTAGCCGTTGAGAGCGTCTGTTGTCTTTGTAGAGGAACAATACGATCTTGGACTGGCCCCCTTCGCATGACCTAGAAAGAAAAAGAAGTATGTGCTACTATAAGGCCTCTAAACTCCTCCCTCAGGACACTGTTGCGTTGCCCATGGGGGCGGGCTAGCCCCGACTTCCATAGGTCCTTGGTTCGACCTCCTAAYGAGAATTGAGGTCCTTGCGCGGGCGTCTCATCCCTAAGACTTGTTTGCTCTGTATGGAGTGCCCCGTGGTTCCTCGAGTGCCAGCCRCAGAGAGGAATGCCATCAACTAGGGCGCTATTGGCCACTAACCACTCGCTCGCCGGGCGCTCGGGCTCCGCGTTTCAAGTTCGTTATCCTAACCGTATCCTCTGCTCCACCGGGAGCCTGACCCMTTCTTCTATCTTATCTACTGCCTTGCTCATCGGCTCCATACTGCTCCAGTTCATAAGTGCGTGTGTGGTTCCCCCGATGTCAGATCTGTATTCCTAGTGCACCAATCCAGCCCTTGATTCATTTGGCGAGAGAAAAAAGATTTTATGACAACAGTTGGTACGGCGAGAAGGTGAGCTTCCTTACCCTGAGATCTCCGCTATTGATAAGAGAGAGAGAGCCTGGTCTGCATGCTACTGATAAGACAATTGCTGTGGGAGTTGAAGGTCAGGATCGAAGGCATATGCTGGTATGCGGTGGTCACGGATTTAGTTCAGGCCTGCCTCTGAGTGTGATGTGAGAGTGTTATGCTGGAACTTTTCATGGGATTCATCGATCAGGCTATTTTTAAAGAAAGGAAAGAAAGTTCTAACCTAAAATAATCCGATAGAGATTAACAGGGGGATTGTGTTACGCGGGGACACAATCCTAAAGTGACAGGTTCCCACTTGGGTAAAGCGCTGCAATGGCGGCTCATGTTTTGCGGACGTAGCTTCCCCATCCTTATATATATATATATATATATATATGGGTAAAGCGCTGCAATGGCGGCTCATGTTTTGCGGGCGTAGCTTCCCCATCCTTATATAGGCACGTTCAAATGAAAGCTGTACAATTCTTAGAAACCGTGTAAATAATTTCGACCAATAGAAAATTTTTATTTTTTTCTAATTAAATTTAATCATTAAGGGTATATTGGTCATTTGCGTTGTTTTCTATTAAATATGGAAGTTATTAATAAATCTTAATTAAGGTAACACAATAAAAGAAATTTTATAAATGATAACATTTAAATATTTAATTAAATTATAATATTAAAAATTGGATTTTGTTATATTGTGTCTCGGTGTATTATTGTCAAGATTCATGAAAATCGTAAGTTATTAGATTAATAAATCCATGAAATCAGTAATAGAAAAAAAAATCATGAAACCGGTTTCATACATGATGAAATTGGTACATGGAGTAAGTGAAAAATGATTATGAAATGAGTGCATGATGAAACCGGGTTTCATACATGGTGAAATTGGTACATGAAATAAGTGAAAATGATTATAAAATGAGTACATGATGAAACCGGTTTCATACATGGTGAAATTGGTGCATGAAGTAAGTGAAAATGATTATGAAATGAATGCATGATGAAACCGATTGCATACATGACGCATGGAGTAAGTGAAAATGATTATGAAATTGGTGCATGATAAAATGGATACAACATGGAATGAGTGCATGATGAATATGGTGCGTGAATAATCTCATTGCACAAATGAAACAGAGTGCATGATAAATAGGATGAGGAATTTACCATAATAGGGTGCATGATGAATAAAATGATTAATATGGTGCATGATGAATATGTGGTTGGATTTACCATTTTGCTCTTCTCGTTATTATAAAATAAAAATTTTAATATTTTTTTAATTTCTTAAAATAAATTAATCTTGACCATTAATCAAGAAAATGAATGGATAAAATTGATTTACATGGTTTACACAAATAAAGGCAATTTTCATTTCATCGTTCCTATAAATAAGGTTGAATCCATCATACTGCATTTATGAAGTTCTTTTAGAAGTCTATTAAAATTATGACTAACTAAAATATCATTATAGAAGTAGTTATTATATTCTATTTTAGAAAAAATAGTATCTATTTGAATTCAATGTGAAAAAACAACCAAGTTCTTCTACATAACGTCAAGCCATCAGAAAAAGAAAAAAAAAAAACTAATACCGAACGTATTTTTTCTTTGTAAGACGACAAGACCACAAACAACCAACCCGTAACTCTTATTGTTGACCCGGACCCGGAATATGTAATTCTTATGAATGTTTATGACCATATGGAAATGACACAATCGTACGACGTATGTAATGGACTATACAACATTTGCCCTGGACACGATATTATGCATTCAATCTATGTTGATTGTAACCACCTTTTTAGGTCGTCCTCCTGAAGAACTGGTCGTTGTAGCGTTATCATTGTTCACCCTCTGGTTGCTATGGGAACGGTCGGCAGACTCAAGTGCCAACCCAAATGGTCGCATGCTACCGGACCCTGTGAAACCAATAAAAAAGAAACAACCCATTGTTGGTAACCATATGGCATCCATAAAAATTCTGTTCATAGCAGAGCACATTCCAGACTAGAATTTACAGTCCAAAAGCCAAGCCACTGGTGCAAAATTAGCCGAAATAAGGTCCTTCTATTAGGATAGGGCTAAGCCTAAAGGGTGCGTTTGGTACGTGAATGAGACTGGACAGGCAAGCGGGTGAGAGAATTGAAAAACGTTTTAGGGTTTAATTGACATAATTAGTTTAGTAACTAGCACATTTTGTCTAATGGCCCTGATTTTTGTTCCACCTATTTCAGTGGGGCAAAAAAAATGCATTTTTATCCCACCCAGTCAAGTCAAGTCATGTTCTGTCCCAATCTAATGTCACAAAAAACATGGGATAACAAGTTTTTGTTTAGTCTTGCCCCGTAACCAAACGCACCATAAGTAAACTAAACAAACCCAGTATATTCCATTAGGTGGTAGGGTCCGGAAGAGGTACGATGTACACATACCTCACACTTGTTGGTCTCAAGAGAGAAAGGTTTCCGAAAAAGCCCCCGGGGTTGTGAAAAGTTCAAGTGAATAAAACTAAAATTTGGAGGACAACTATAAGCCACGGATTTGCAAAAAAGGGATCAGACACTTATTATTGTAGTGGATTCCAAAAACAGGTACAAGGACAGTGAAATTGCGGGCCAAAAATATGAGAGACGTAATGATAAAGTTGAATACTCATGAGAGATACATCTTACGTTCCTTATGATTGTTGTAACTCCCATGTGATGCGAGAGCATTAGCAGCTAATTTAAATCCTCAACAAGTTAATTCGTGATGATCAATTTTATATTATGTGTCGGGATGTGTAATGTGCACGAATGTATATGTATAATGCTAGAAAGCGTGTTCAAAAGATAGAGCAACAGGGAAGCTATGAATGATTAACAGGTTCTTACCTGCCCTTCCAAACGTGTTGAATTCTTCATTCCATCCAGGGATGTGCATGTCGGCGGTACCTTTCCATGCTTGTTCGAAACCAGCTAACTCATCTGTGAAATGAACGTAACTTGTATATCGAACTAGTAACCTAATTGGAAACTTATTGGCCACATAAGCACCTTGAAAAGTCCTTGCAAGAAAAACCTTTTTGCTTCTGCAGTTACAAGCAAGGTTTTTGAATGTGGGTCCCACTTTTCTTGAGAAAGCTCACTCAAAAAGCTACAATGGGGCTTTCTAGAGGGCTTGTGATCACAAAGACATCGAAAAAGTTTCTGAAAAGGAAAACCCTATCTCTGCTTGTGCAGTTACAAGCTTTCAATAAGCTGATTTTTTTGCTCGTTGATCCTACTTTGAAAATGATTAGAAAAAGCTTTAATGGAAAAGTCCACCATTGTGGATGCTCTTAGAATGAGAGCTGTTCAAGATTACTTAGTTTAAGAACTCTTACCTTCATCAAGGTTGTGTAGGGTCTGTACAGTGTCCACTTTCCCATCTGTACCAAGATTCCTCGTGACAGAATGACCCTAGGGAAACCGGGTAATGAATTTTAGTTTGTATATATTTGAATAATAAATTAATGAAAAGAGTTTTCGGTATATTCTAGCTTTGTCTATCATATACATATATAGTAGTAACACATGCTTTCAGAAGCATGAAAAAACTACCCTCGTGTTCCATACTGCTGGTAATATTTCAAATGTTAAAAGAAGCAGCATCATGCAAAAAAGTGTAACCATTGCAAGGCCTTTAATCTATCTTCATATTATACATCTCATGCCAAGTTTCACTGCTTCAGCATCTAGGTAAGGCACCATACTGGTTTTAGTTCATATTTCCTTTTCACTCGCACAGTCGCACTTTAGCATAAGCCAAGGGTCTTCATAGAAACAACCACTTGGGGATAGAAGTCTGAACTGCTGGATTTATTTGGTTTTCATCATTATGCCATGAAGAGTCTCAAACTATGCTACTTCACCTCATCAAAATGGCAACAATTTCCTTCCTGATTGTCCAAAGCAAACTATAATGTTTTCTTTGGTAAAATTTCAGCTTAAAATTACTTATTTACCCATATCTAATTTGTTACACAAGATTCCTTTCCAAATGGATATATATTTCACAAACAGTCAAACATGTTCTTTAAAAATATTGCGCCAATTCAAATTTGCAGTTTTCACGAGATGGAGGGAGTATATTACCATCAGTCACAAGAACCACTTACTAATCAGGGAATTAGATGATCCTTTTGAAACCACGTTATAGTCATATTACAATTTATTAAGAGAAATAAGAAGGCACCTTGTCATGTATTCCTTTAGAAATTCTATGTGTTGCTCGACCTGTGGTTTTATTAGCTTCTTTGCTGTCTTCCAGCACCACCTGATTACCAAGCATAGTATATCAACATCAGGAGCAGCAAACAAGATTCAGATGAATATAGAACTACAAGAAAATAACTTACTCCATCACTTCCCGACTTCCTGGTTGTTGTGGCAGTGTAGTATGCTCCATTTATACCACCATATGTAACTTTYTTATAGCTAATGCTCTGAGTCTGGGGCTTGGTCCCTTCCATCCTGTTATGGTTCCCATTGAAGCGCACATCCTTCTTCACTTCCTCTGCCAGACAACCATGATCGGTAATATGGAAAGTAGTAGGATTCTGAAATTTGGGAAAGAAGAAATAGCTGTGGGGTCCAAAGTTCAATATAAATAAGGAATACATTGACGTGACTTATAAGAGAAAGATAACAGAGTGAAAGGAGAACGGCATGGAGAAACATTTTGGCAAACTTATCACAGGAATTCTAACAGGAAAGGATGTGATATGGTGGAAGAATTTTGTCCAAAATTTTGTCTCCGAAAAACTTGGGAGTAGACATTATTTTAAAGAAAAAACACTGATTCACAAATACACTGTTAGGGACACAAACCACAATTGTACATTTAGAAGCACGAATGTAACATGTGGCCATGTGCTATTGATTGTATTTGCTAAACAGAATTTTATATCATTAGGATTAAGCTATGGAATCCTTCCATTGGCATGTTACAAAAAGATCAAGAGAACTGATATCCGCTAAATCCGAGAGGTATACCACAAGCATCTTAAAAAATTAGAGTAAAGAGTTGCATTGATGATACCATTATCATCAGGATGTTCTATAACCGGACCTTTGCCAGACGTGGCACTTCTGGAAGCACCATTTTTTCCTTCTTCTTCTTCATCGTCGGTATCTATCTCTTCAATAACTAACCCCTTGGAACTGCTTTCGCTTGGATATGGAAGATCAGAAGGACCATGTGTATCAAAGATGCTAGGCCCAAACATACCTTCAAATGGTCTATTGAAAAAAGGGTCATCAAAGGGATCCCTTCCTCCAAGGATGCCAGACATCATGCTTCTATGAGATGCAAAACCCCGAGGACCATCAAATGGGCCACGAGAGTTGATTGATTCATCTCTACTATGTCTTTCCCTCTGCATTCCTTTACAACAGATCCTAAAGATTCAAGATTCTTAATTCAGAAAACAGTTATACCAGCGGACCACATGCAGGCTGTTCTCTTTTTTTGGTAAAAGTAAAGCAACTAAACAAAACATAATAACAAGTGCTACAGATAGAATCATGCTGGAAATACATTTACTATGTCAACTTCGCATTGCATCTGAAGATTCTAATGCAGCTTTTTGGTTGCGAGTACGATATGACGTACCATAATCTAGATATACTATGTATTTTACATGAAGACGTTATAAATAGCAAATCTGCAAGTCACAGAGGCATGCACACACACACACACCCCCCTGATCAGTCTATGCTCCAACAGTTTCTATGTGAATGCAAACATAACACACAAGTATTAGTATTTTAATCTCCAAGCAGGATAAAACATCATGCATGAATTTTCAAACTTGTACACATGAACTCCATACACAATTATCAATTATGTGTGTGTATATATAGGGGTGAGAATCCTGGGAGAACCCAAATAAAAAACTGAAGAACCATGAAAAATGGCTGAAAGAAATATATCAATATCGATATCAAACTAAAGAAAATAAAATGATCGTTCTTTTTGTTGTAAATTGTTTTGCTCCAATTTTGATTATATTTCACCTATTTTCCATTAAAAAATAAGGGGGATATTTTTATTTCAAGAAAAAGGAGGTGAGGTCGTAACCACCTCATTCCTTCTCTCAATCTAACCGTTTGATCAAGTTCCTCGCGTCTTTTTTTTTCTGGGTTCTCTATGGATCTTTTTCCTATACGGATACATATACACAAATACGTATGATCTATCTCTCTCTCTCTCACACACACACAAAAAATATATCCTCCTCTGTTAATATCAAAAACAGAACAACAAAGCATTTGCATTTGGTTGCAAACATATAGTCGACTTCGCGGGGAGCTTAACCATATACGAACAACAGGAATCTAATCTTAACAAAATCAATCAAGTATACGTAAAACAAACATCGACAAGAGAATCATACTTGATCAAGATATATGTCACAAAACCATAAAATCAAAACCTTCTCAATCAAAAACTAAAACCACGCCCAATTTAATCCACCAGAAACCACAAAATAAGCGAAATTTATCCAAATTTCCTCTTACTCCGATGAAATGATCATGAAAACCGTAATTATACAAACGGAAAACGCGTCCACAGCAGAAAATAACGTACCTGACGATCGATTTCCGTTCGAGAGAGATCTGAAGCAATCGAAAATTCGACAAGCGAGTAACGAATTATGAAACGAAAGAGTTTAAATATTTTTCAGTCGTTCAAATCCTTTTTGTCGCGTAGCTTCGGCCCTAGATTGTTCTCAACTTCTCACGAGAAATATAGGTGTAGCGCATATTTACATTTAGCACCCCTTAAGTTATAACAAATACCACTACCCCCTACAACTTTGTAAAATATGCAAACTAGGTTACATAACCATGGATTTAACAAGTAGGACCCACGTTAAATGGATCAAATTTTTATTTATTTCTTATTTTTTGAAAACATGAATATGTGAAAATTATTAAAATACATTAAATTAAACTAGAAGGATACTCGTATAATGCAGTAAAATACATCTTAATTTTAGTGTTTCAGTTTTTCTTTATCTTAGTCGATGTTATAATACGGTTTTATGTGGTTTTGAGAAAAACGATAATGTTTTTATTTTTAAATAAAAATATAAATATGAAGATATCATACAAAAAATATTGATATTAGTACCAGAATAACTATTTAAAATTTCTCGTTTTTTGTGTATTTCTTTAATTCATTTTTTTTGGTTTAATAATATAATTTTTTATGAAGATAATAATTAAGTATTTTGTTAGAACTCAATAATTATCCTAATTATATTTTAGTTTTTTAAATTTAAAATGAAATGTTTATCCTCAATTTGATTATATTTATCTAAAATTAGTTACACGAATTCAAACATAGAGCTTTAATAAACTGTATTTACGCACAATTTACTTGTAATCTTGAATTTTACGTAATATGTATCAATAAGCAGTACTTCATACATAAAAATTGGTTTTTAAGAATTTTTTTATCAAATGTTTTATAATATAGTATATATATGAATAATTTCTAAAGTCAAATTGTCACATTTTATAACAAGATTACCAAAAAAAATCCAAATATTTAAACTATATTATATATAATATAGACCACGGTGAGTCATTAAATGTCGATTCAGTCTTTAAAAAAAAACATGTTTTACACCTTATTAGTGATTTAATTTACTTCATATCCTTTATTTTTTCAATTTTCATTTATCACGATTATCATATTAACACAAATAATCGTATATGAAGTAAATTGCATTTAAAAAATACGTTTTTTTTACAAATTATACTATTATAATCGTCTCGTCAATATCTTCAAATTGAATCCAATATTGAATATTTTTTTAATTTAATAATACTATTAAATATCATGTATAATTATAGAATTAATTTGTTTTATATTCATACATTTTTTATTTTATACCTTTATCTATCTATATTCTATACGATATTATAAAGCATCTGACAAAAACTCTTAAAAACCATTTTTTATGTATGAAGTACTGTTTATTGATGCATATTACTTAAAATTTAAGATTACAAGTGATTTTGCGTAAGTACAACTTATTAAAGCTTCATTTTTAAATTCGTGTAACTAACTGCAGATAAACATAATCAAATATAGGAAAAACATCTATTTTAAATATAGAAAATTTAAAATATAATTAAAATAATCATTGAATTTCTAACCGAATGTTTAATTATTATCTTTGATAAAAAATATATTATTAAACCAGAAATAAATTATTTTACTATTAGATCTAAATTAAATTATAACAGAAAATTGAATTAAAGAAGTTACACCAAAAAAATGAGAACTATTAAATAGTTAATTTAATATTAATATCGATTTTTTTTAATTCTTTTATGCTATCTTCAATTTTATATTTCATTCAAAAATAAAAACATTATCGCTTTCTCAAAACTACTTAAAATCATATTATATCGATAAAGACAAATAATAAAAATTAAACATTAAAATTGAGATTTATTTCGTTGCATTGCGCAAGTATCCTGCTAGTATATTATAAAGCATGTTAAAAGGTTATTGTTAAATTTTTAAGAGGTAAAATTTGATGCATCATGTACAAGTTTGAAAACTTCACAATCTCCAAAATGAATCTAATATTGAATATTTTTAGACTTAACCGTATTATATCACAAATAAGAGAATTGTTTTTAAAACTTGTGTTTTATACCATACTAGAAGCGTACTCGCGCAATGCAACGAGATACATCGTGATTTTAATATTTCATTTTATTCTTTATCTCAGTCGATGTTATAATATGACTTTATGTGATTTTTTGAGAAATCGATGATGTTTTTGTTTTTGAATAAAATATATGTTTGAAGATATCAATAAAATTTGACAAAAATATATCGATATTAGTATCAAATTAACTATTTGAAATTCCTCATTTTTTTGTGTAATTTTTTAGTTCAATTTTTTTATAATTTAATTTATGTACAATAACGAAGTAATTTAYATTTGGTTTAATAATATAATTGTTTTATAAAGATAATAA